CGGCGGCGGCGGCGAGCCTGCACACGCAGCACGTCGTCACCGCGGCCAACGAGCTCGGCAAGCTGATGACGCACCGGACGCCGCTGACGCGGCACACGCACTTCTTCATCTGCGCCGTGGTGCTGGCCGCCGTGGTGCAGCTCGGGGCGTGGTCGGGCGGCGACGACGCGGTGCGGGAGCAGGTCCGGCTGTGCATGGGCGCGCTGCGCCACATGGCCACCGTCTGGGACCTGGCGGGCAGGGCGCTGGCACAGGTCAGGGAGGTGGCGGGCCACGTACACCTGGTGAGGACGCAGAGCCGCCAGATGGAGCAGTTTCTGGTGCATGTGACGGACGAGGACATGATGAGTCTGTTTGCGGCCGATGCGCCCGCGCTGGCGGACATGGATGCTGTTTAGCAGGCTGATAGCAACGAGGCTACTTCCGGTAAGAAGCTCGGAGGGGTGACAAGTCGAAGCTGACAGCCCACAAGTAGCCTCGTCTTACATCTAGAAAGCCGACTGATGCACAAGCGATCGCCATGAAACGTCTTCTATATTGCTTCTTCAGCATTCGTCGAGTACTTGCCGTCCTGACCAGCCGTGTCCCGACCTCCTTTACTCCTGGCAGACCCGGGAGTAGGCAGCCCGGATTCACCTTGAATCCCACCTCTCCAATCAGTGAATGCAGGGGGGGCGGAATACGACAATACGTCTGTTGAACCTGGAACCCCACGAAAGGACCAAATAGTTCCGGTTCCGCGGTGTCCCTGCAAATAGCGCAACAGACACTAGTTACCCAACCAGCCTCCGGAGGGACTGATTTTTCGTGTGAATTTGACCTTGGACAAGTCCAATTCCTGGACGATTTCATGCGCCATGTTGGTGTAATTGGATGAAAGCTAGTGGTTACACATTATGAGAGTAGGACTGGAGTTTCGCGGCTGACTAATGAAGACATTTTAGGGGGTCTGCCCACGGGTAGAGTCGTACGTAGTCTCAACCACCAGGACGCGAAAGCGAAAGCAGACATGGAAATTGAAGAAACAGAATGAAGCCATTTTAGAAGGGACTCGTTGATCCCCGCTCCAGCTGATGATGTGTCGAGGCCGAGGTCCCCAGGGTTGGCTGGCAGATTCCACTGTGTCTCTCAGTGGTCGCCGGCGCGGCATAATCTGCCGATGGGCGATCATGCAAAAGAGGCGTAAACTATGCCTTTATTCGAAACCGAATCCACTGCCGCACGAGCAGCACCGGAGAGCCAGCTACAACTTCTTCACGCTGCCCTGCCCTGCCTGTATCAGTTGTGCTCCGGCAGGTGGACGGATTGCAAAATCGCCGCAAACCTTGAACCGGTAGTTATATTGCCCAGTGTTTGTTCGGCTAAAATAAACTATCAACAGATGAAACAACGCTGCTCCCCAGGCCCCCCTTTGATGCCCTCTGGCTGAGCACCCGCAGCCTTTGTGCACTAGCTGCCATTGAATTCGCCTGGGCTCGCCATCTGCATAGCTGCACCCCATGGCTTGTTGCAGCGGGAGAGAATGGGCATTTGCCCCTCATGGAAGGCTGTCGGCAGGTCCAAATGAAGATCTGCGCGTACAAGCTTTGCTTGCAGGGCCCTGCTAAAAACTCCATCTTGGTAGCATCGCGTCGCCTCCTCAGCCCGCCGTCTTGGCAGCGTGCGTGTCCACTTGATCTGTCCGGGGCGCGAAGGATTTTGCTTAAAAGAAAAGACTTTGGATCGCTTCTCCTGTTTGCTTATTAGGGTCTTCACTCTCTCTTTGTGATTCTGGCGCTTGACGATTGTTGAAACCCGCAGTCACAATGGCGGAGAATCGGGGACCAGAGCTGCTCGGCATCAACATCACCTTTTGCATCATCACATGTAGCATTGTGCTGCTTCGCTGTTATACAAGAGCCTTCATTGTCAAGGCCTTTGGTGTGGACGATTGGATCATCATCTTGGCCACGGTGAGTCGCGCGATTGGGCCAGGTTGACGGCGCGTGGTGCTAATCCAGGCAGATGTGCTACCTCGGCTACATCACTGCCTCCAATATGGGAGTCAAATACGGCACCGGTCAGCATAAAGACGCCCTGACAGAGGCTGACTATCAGCGAGCCATGATGGTACGGCCGACGGCGACATGTGGCAGAACGAAAGCTAACCTGGCGCAAGCAATGGTGGTTTTGCTACCTATTCTTCAGTCTCACCATGGTCGCCTCCAAAGTGTCATTTGCATGGTTCCTGCTCCGCATTGTCAACAAGCAAACGCACGCTTGGCTCATATACGCCGCCACCATGTGCACCGTTCTCGGAGGGCTCGTCTTCTTCTTCGTCACACTCCTGCAGTGCCAGCCGATTTCGCACTACTGGGACAAGACGGGCGCCGGCCACTGCATCAGTATGGACGTTGTCATTGCACTGGCCTATTTGTACAGTGCCTTTAGTGTCATTACAGACTTTACTTTTGCGATTCTGCTCGGGTTTGTTGTTTGGCATCTGAACCTGCAGAAGCGGGCCAGAATTGTCGTCATCTTTCTCATCACCATGGGATGCGTGTAAGTGGCGCTCTTCGACGAGCAATGCCCTGGATGAACTAACGACGTCAACAGCGCAAGTGCAGCAGTTATTGTGCGAGTTCCGTTTCTAAAATTTCTCAAAGAGCCTGATTTCCTATGTAAGCCCCGCGACTTGATCCATGACTTTGGATGCTCTACTAATGTGTTGCAAGGGGATACTACTGACATTGCTATTTGGTCCACCATTGAAATGAGCTTGGCCATCAGCGCAGTCAGTATATCGACTCTGCGACCCCTGATCAGGGCCGTAGGCTGGAGTCTTGGAATAAGCTCCAAAGGCACTGGCGACAGCCATCAGCACGGCACGAGCGGCCGACGCAGCACACCGAAATCGCACCTCTCTTCCAAACTCGGACATCACGTCTACATCAAGTCGGAATTTTCCCAAGACGCGTCTTGTACGGACCGCGATCCGAAATGGATCGTTGGGACGCGGGCAACGGCATTTGCCGCACACTCGGACAGCGAGGGGAGGAATAACCGCTTTGGCGGTGGTGAGAGCCTCGAGTACTTGGAGATGACCAACTCAGACAGGGGTGCAGAAGAAGGGCACGCAAGAAAAGCGTCTCCGAAATATTTTCTCCCTTAAACAAGGTAGATGTGGGCATAGATATCTGTACTGGTAGCTACCTCGAATAGTATCAATCACCATGTCAACAGTGTATGGATTGACTATCCCTCCTACTGCTTGCAGGCCGGCAAAGTGACCGGGGACGGCGTATTTATTTAAAGATGGAGGCTCACATGGCACAAGATGGCTGACGGGGCCGGCTCGGGCTCGGCCCGTGACATCGCCCACGTCAGCCACGATATAGACAACGCTCAACAAGCTCGCGGAAGCCTGAGTGACCAATAGGTTCATCTTGTGCAGGGCCGTCTCGACATGTCATGGAATTTGTCATCATTTGCAAATATATGTTATAGCATGACAAGGCAATAAGTCGGATAGCTTGTGGGTTTTATAAGCCCACTCTGCGCGAGCGAGCCCCTGCCACCCCCCGCCGGACGATGCATGGGAGAAGTTGCCCCTCTTTCTCGACCTGAGATTTACCTGGCATCGTGCATCTTTTCATCTTCCCCCGAGAGAGATCTCTCGGTGACCCCACTGTCCGTCGTCATGCGCGGCAGCGTCCGCGCCACCTTGGGCGGATCCCAGATGGACTTGCTCTGCACAAAGATTTCGTCAATCTCCTCGAGCGAGCGGCCGCTCGTCTCAGGAAAGAAGAAGTAGACAGTAGGTACAATGGCGGCGTTGAGCACGGCAAAGATGATGTAGTAGCGGTAGCCGATGGTGTTGAAGCCAATGGGCGTCACCTCGGCCAGCAGGAAGTTAAAAGTCCACACGGCGGCCGTGGCCACGGCGCTGATGGCGGCGCGCAGCTGCAGCGGCGCGACCTCGGTCGCGTAGAGGTAGGTGAGGCCCGAGTAGCCGACCGTGTAGATGAACTGAAAGGCAAACAGACAGATGACGGCCACGATGAGGGCGGCCGTGTTGTTCGGCGCCGACGTTGTGCCCGCGAGAATGGCCATGGCGACGCCCATGCCGGCGGCGCAGGACAGCATGAGAAAGCGGCGGCCGAGACTGTCAATGGTAAAGGTGGACAGGTACCCGCCAAAGATTTGCGTCATGGCCATGGAGGCGGCGAGGATGCGCGCGTTGACGGGGCTCATGCCGAGATACTGCTCAAAGATGGTCGTCGCGTACATGGATATCAGGTTGATGCCACACATTTGCTGGCATACTTGGCCGAGGGCGGCGAGCACGGTGCGGTGCAGCAGCCGCTGCTCGCCCATGGTGCCCATGGCCTTCCACGAGAGCGCGCCGCAGATGGACAGCGAGTGCTGGATCTCGCGGATCTCGAGCGCAATGGCGTCCGAGTCCGGGTCGTCGTCGTGCAGCGCGGCCAGCACGTGGCGCGCCTCGTCGATGCGGTCCTTCTTGACGAGCCACCGCGGCGACTCGGGGAAGAGCGTGACGAAGCCGCCCATGGACGCGAGCAGGAGGATCTGGAACGCGAGCGGGAAGCGCCACGCGACGGAGCCGTGCGCGCGCACGAAGAAGAAGCCAAAGTCGACCCAGAGCGCGAGCGAGATGCCGGCGCCCACAAAGATGCCGTCCATGACCACGTGCGCCCCGCGCTTGCTGGCCCGCGCAATCTCGGCCTGCCACACCGGCACCGTCGCCAGGTAGCCGCCCGTGCCGAGGCCGAGCACCACGCGCGCCGCGATGAACTGCCCGAGGTGGAACGACGACGCCATGAGCGCGGCGCCGAGCATGGTCACGAGCGCCGACAGCTGGATGACGCGCTTCCGCCCGAGCCGGTCCCCGAGGTAGATGCATGAGAGGGAGCCGAAGATGCCGCCGACGGTGAAGAGGGCGAGGACGGTGCCTGCCAGATGGTCAACACACATGGTACGGGGAGGGGGGGCGGTGGAAGAACAGAAGTACCTTGAATCGTGGAATTGTGCGACTGCTGCGATCCTGTGGTGTTGATGGTATCGAGCAAAGGAAACATTTGGACAAAGGACTGCAGCGTCAAGAGACCGCCGGCGACACTAATGTTGTAGCCGTAGCAAGTAAAGGCCGGGCAGACGACGAGCCAGATAATGGCCCGCGAGAGGGCCGGGCCTCGAAGGCCGAGGAATTCTGCCATGGTTTTTGAACTTCAGGTGGTTGACGATTTTTGATAAACTTGGCCCAGCTCGAACCTCTGCTTTGGGGAAGGGTACTAAATATACTGAGACGACGCGTGATTTTTTTCACCATGAGATGGGTTTCAGCATTGCCTTGCCCATGGCACAGAGCATGAACACCGGCCTTTTGTGTCATGGCTAGCGCTTCACTGTCCCCATCTATCCGATAGAGCCGCGCTTCCTCATTCGCGCGGGGTTAATCTGACGGGGACAACCTGGTCTCGATGCGCCGGAGGGGGAGACTACCCCCGGGGGGGGCGACTACCGGTCATCGGCGGACGCCGCACAGCCCAATTGCTCAGGGCCAAAAACACCAGAAGGAGAAGCCGTCTAAAAAAGGGGGCTTGCTCTAGTCGGGATCGTGAGCGAGTAAGCGGGCGCCGTGGTTCGTCGCTGGGAATAAAACCCGTCCATTGCTAACCTCCCCCAACAGGCATGAGGGTATGTGGCTTGCTTTTTGGGGTGGGAGTGCAAAGTTGAGTTATCCTTTTCCGGAGTGTATGCCGCAAGGCGTTATTATTCATTTACAACTTAACACACACACAAATACATAATAAGCTTCCCCGCGTCCGACCATCGCGGGGGAGGCGTCTCTGATCCACCGGACATGGCCGATGCACGGTACATGTCCGTGGAAGCGTGTGCGGGATTTCGAGTCGAGGGCTCTGTTATTACAAGTGCCGAAACTGTTGCCAATGGTGTTGACGTAAACTTTCACTATTCAAAACGAAATGGAAGTTGTGAACAGATAAGGGCCGCACATACAATACGAATGAGTGCTTGGCGTGCATCTCTATAATCCTTATTGGCAGCTGAAAATGCAGCCCTTTATCGTATAGATCGCGAATGCAATAAGTAGACCCTGTAGCTTGGGGCCGGCTCGTGCAAAGTACACAGACTCGCCAGTTTCCACTGCTGCAGCTGACAAACAAATTTGTGACTTTTTTCCGACTTATTTTTGGTAAAGTGATTTTGTTTTGGGGTTTGTTTTGTTTTTTATTTTTTATTTCCGTCTTTTTTGCGCCTCTAGCGTAGGCAAAGGCAACCAAAGCCGCACTAACAAATGCATTCGTAGTGGGAGCCGTACGGTGGCGCCATTGTTCATGCAAGCTCTTTGTCTATTTTATTGATAACGAGTGAGCGTTGATAATAACTGCCGCCATCCACGGTCGCGGCATGCGGCGAAATATTGACAGGACGCCGGCGGCCGGGCCTATTTAGGACGTGCAGTGGCTGTCCGCCACTGAGCGTGGCAGGGTGAAACCACGCCGCGAGTCAATGAAGCATGTTTGAACAAAGAGCAGGTTGCTGCCCGAGAGAGACGAGGCTGGAACCAGCGTACGCTACGTACTTTCCATGCAGCGCCAGCCAATAAGGATTCAGCCGCACGCAAGACCGATGTAAGCAAGAGACCCAGAGGATTACGTACATGTAGCCGGCCGATAACCAGAGCGGGCTTTACCTCGAGGGAGCCAGAGATTATGTACATGCAAGTATATAATTGACACAAGGCAGACTTTTGAAGACAAAAAGAAAAAGAGCCCCCTCTCCCAGGCCGTGGCTGCTTTACAAAATGTCCGCCGGCTTCACCGTGACCCAGTTCTTGTCGGCCGTCACCGGCCAGCCCTCCTTGGCCTGGGCGGCCGCAAAGTCCGTCTTCATCTGGTCAATCTGCTTCTGGTACTTGTCCTTGCGGTTGACCCAGAGGTGGATGCCGCCCCTGCGGACGTCGACGCCGTGAAACAGCATCGGCCCGTCGCTGTCGGGCGTGTCGCCGGCGACGAGGACGGGCTTCTTCCACATGTCAATGTAGGACAAGATGGCAGCCCACTTGCCCGTCTTCCACGTGGCCGGGGTCCAGAGAAAGGGCGTCATGACGAGGTCCAGGTTGGCGGCCTCGTCGTACGCGCCGGCGCTGATTTGCTTGCGCGCCGAGGTGAGCGCGGTGCTGCCGACGTTGCGGAGGGCCGTCGTGACGCCAATGACGTTTTCCGGCTTGACGTTGTAGCCATACTTGGGGTCCGCGACGACCATGCGCACCAGCTCCTCGGACGCGGCCGACACGACGTACACTTCGATGCCGTTGGCCATGAGCTTGTTGTACAGCTCGACCTGGCCGCGGAACACGCGGGGCGGGCTGACGTCGACCTTGACGAGCTCGTCGCCCTCGTAGTAGCTCGTGTGCACGGTGCCGTTGAGCGCCATGAGCTCGTCCACGTACACCTTGAGCGTGCGCAGGGGGATGCCGCTAAAGATTTGCGCGGCAAACGGGTAGCAGATGGCGTCGTCAATCTGGCACAGGCGCAGGTAGTAGCTGTAGAGCGTCTCGTTGTGCGCGGCCGTGTCCTTGAAGGGGACGAGCTTGAGCGACGGGTCCATGGTGTCGCGCGTGATGACGCCCTTGTTCTCGAGGTACGGCAGCAGCGACTCCTCGAGGTCGTACTGGTAGCTCGTGTTGTCCATGTCAAAGGCCGCGTACCGGCCCTGGTGCGCGTTGGCCGCAATCATGGTGTTGAGCGCCGTGGCCGCCGAGCGCGGCCAGTGCCGCAGCGCGGGGCCCTTGAGGCATGGTTTGGCGGCGGCATCGACGGCGGCGTCGACGGGCGAGGCCGACGCGACGAGCCCGGTCGAGGCGAGCGCGAGGCTCACGGCGGTCAGGAGCTTGGTCATGACGCGGAAGCTTGACGGGCAAGATGGGTACAGGGGGGGGGAGGAGGAATAAGTGGCAGGTGAGACAGCCTCACACGAGTCCGGGGGCAACACCCGCTTTTTATGTTCAATTGAACGCTTTTTTTCAACAGCGGCTGAAGAACGAAGATGATAAAAAAAATAGGCAGAAACAGGGCGAAAATGCTAGCGGCGGCCCGGATGCGCAGCCTTGCAAGGTCCCAGCCAGCTCAAGGTTAACATATCCACACCAAAAGAAATCCCAACTATCCCAATTCACCATGCCGAGTGCCAAGAGTGAAGATCCCTTCCGCATGTAGTCGCTGCGCAGCCCATTGATGCGCCTCGAGACAAACTGTGCTGATCAAGTCCCTGCAAATAGCGCAACAGACACTAGTTCTATCTACATATATTCCCGCAGTTGCCCACTGTCGCAGGCTTTTTTTTCTTTCAGGTCCATATCTACCTACATTTAGGCTCCAGATAAACTCTGCTCAGGGCGCAGTCATCTTGTTGGCTTGCCTCTTCCCGGGCCGTCCACAGGGCCCACGTGTTGACATTGTAGGCCCGAGAAGCACGGAAATGCTTGCCATTGGGTTTCCGCTAGTGGCTGAAGCCATCTCCGCTGTGGCTGGCCGGCCTTCTTTCAACGACAACCGCTCACGTGCTGGTCGGGTCATCGCAGAAAGGACAGAAGTGTATTGCTGTCCGTGCCCAGGCTTGGTGCACTGTATATGCTCTTCGGTGCGCTCAAAGTAGCCATGATAAGCGAATTGTTGCAGCCTTTTGAGAGAATCCATGCCTCAAGAGAACAGGACCGCGGATTCGGGGACTTGGACAGTCGTGTAAGTGCCAGTTGTTACGACAACCAGCCGCTACGCATGGTGGCTGACACCTGACACAGACTGCGAAATACGAAGCAAGAACTGCAGTAACTAGGCTGCCACTTCAATACATATTGCGGGCGCAACGCATTCGGTTTCTTTAATTATTACGTGACAGACCTGGCCTCGGTCACTGCTTCCGTCAATATCTACTCCACATTGCTTGGTTGACAGCTAATCAAGCAGCCCAAAGAGCAGACGAGTCATCGGTCCGTGAGATACCACGTGCCATTGGAATTCTATATGACAATAAATAGTGCTCTACTGGTAGTCAACTAGGCTCAGTGCAGTAGGAAACGTTCTTGCAACCGGCTACAGTGTATCCCAGCCGCGGGGAAGAATATTCACTCCCAGCACCAGCGTAGGACCAGCGTGTCAGCGACCATGTCATCGGGAGGCAAGACATGCTAAAAAATTAATTATCGCTCTGCATCGTCTATTTGGCCTAGTTTAAACGACCCTTCACATCCGCTACGCATTCTTTGCAACGTGCACGATGACCTTGCCCGCCGAAGACCCCTTCTTCAGGCGGCTATAAGCGGCCGGCGCCTCGTCAAACGCAAAGGTCGCGTCCACGACCGACTTGAGGCTGCCCTTGCTGTACCACTGCGCAAGCTGGTCCAGGTCCTCGTGGTTGTTCTTGGTCAGGTAGCTGATGAAGCGGTTCCTGCCGCCGCCCAGACACGCCGGCCGGACCATGGCGCAGGCCACGCTCGCGACGTGTCCGAGCGAGCCGCCGCCGACGGACACAAACGGCGCCGTGGGCAGCAGAAACGCGGCCGACTTGGCGTGCAGCGCGACGGCGCCGACATTGTCCACAAACACGCTGTACACGGGGCCGGCCTTTTGCAGCGCCGCCAGCACGTCCGTCGTCTTGTAGTCGACGACCTCGTCGGCGCCGAGCTGCCGGCACAGCGCCACCTTGGCCGTCGAGCACGTCGCCGTGACGTGGCAGCCGAGCAGCTTGGCGATCTGGATGCCAAACGTGCCGGTGCCGCCCGAGCCGCCGTTGATGAAGACGCGGTCGCCGGCCTGGACGTGCGGCTGGATGCTCTGGTACGCCGTGAGCGCGGCGGTGCCGAGGCCCGCCGCGGGGCCCAGGTCCGCGTCGCGCGCAAGCTTGGCGTACCCGGCGCGCTGCAGGACGACCTGCTCTGAGAGCGCGCCGCCGGGCCGGAACGGGTCCAGCCGCCCGACCACGTGGTCCCCGACGAGCACGTCGGTGACGGCAGGGCCCACGCCCACGACCACGCCGCTGAGGTCCATGCCCAGCGTCTTGGGGAAGGAGAAGACGGCCCGCACGACGAAGCCCATCTCCGCCACCTTGTAGTCGGCCGGGTTCACGGCCGCGCTGCTGACCTGGACGAGGATGTCCTGGCCTTGGAGGTCCGCGGTGGTCGGCCGCGCGGCCGCGGGGTTGAGATGCAGCTGCTGCTCGACGATGCCGGGCGAGGCAAGCTGCCATGCTTTCATTGTTTCTGCCATGATGACTGCTGAGGTTGAAGGATGAGCAAACTTTTCTTTTGAGGGGTTTGACGGGCTTGATGGTACAGAGACAGTTGATGTTTCTGCAGCGTTTGAGGGACCCCGAAACGCGACTGCTGCCTACGAGCGCGATCTACTCAAGCTAGCTAGGCAGCGCATGAAAGCTTCATCTGTCGTCATAACTACATCCCCCACTGTTTTCATCGCGTTCTTAGCTTATAATTTATCGACACTAGCAATGACGCTTGTTTGTGCTAGCATGTCGGCCAAACCACGCCATGGGAAATTCCTATATATTCCTTACTTTCTAGACACTATAGGACATAAACCCATCTAAGTAGCAGTATTGTTCCTTCGAAATCGAGCAACGCGAGTTCATCAAGTATTAAAAGTCCATGCACAGTCGTCATCATATCCCTGCGCGATTCTCTCGACATCAACAACAGCATCCCACGCCGCCAACGTCCTCCCATATACGTCGTATTCTTGATCAAGATTGGCAGCACCCACGTCTCCCTGGCACCCAGTGTCGCACTCGCAGCGCAAAACAGACCTCAGCACATCCAACAGCTCCTTCCTCCACGCCGGCTGATGGCCCCCAGACAGTCGTGCCGCGACGTACTCAAAGTAAGCGGGCATGATGTTGGCCATTTCCCAGTCTATAAAGCCCGTCACCGCGAGCGTGTCCGGATCCACGAGGATATTCCGGTCAGACAAGTCCCCATGCGTGAGCACAGGACGGTCCCAACCACCCGCGCCGGCGGCGGTGCCACGCTGCACTCGCTCGAGGTGGGCTGCACGTTCGGCGTCCGTGGTATTGTTCTGCAGCGCGTGGACGCGCGAGTCGTCCCACTCTGCGCGGGAGGCGCAGCTGGCAAACGTCTCTGTGCCCAACTCTGTGACGAAGATGTACGGCTGTCGCGTGGGTCGTCCGTAGTAGGAGAAGCGGCGGGCACGCATGAGCACCAGAAGCCGGCAGAGCTCTGCCTTGACGGCGGCGCGCTGCGGAAGCGTGAGCGAGGGCCAGAGCTGGACGAGTGGCGTGCCTGGCTGGTGCGTGAGGACGAGGCCATGCCTGGTGCGGTTGGACCCCGAGACGCCCGAGGTTGTCACCGAGACCGTGACGATGCTGATGACGCGCGGGACGCAGGGGCCCAGGATGAAATGGGCGAGCGCCGTCATGATGCCCTCGCCATGGTCCGCTCCAAGTTTCAGGATGGTGGTGGGAGAATGCTTGAAAAACCGGCGTCCAAGGGTCGGAACGGTCGGCCCAGAGAATAGAGGGAGCTCGGGGAGACAGGCCCAATGCTCCCGAGGAGGCTCCTGGAGCTCTTGAGAGCTGTCCTCGAGGAGAATCATGGAGAGCAGGGTGACGGAGGAAGGATACCTGGTTAACGAGTGCGGGGCGTCGAAGGCGATTTGAAAGCCACGCTGGGGTCATAATCAGCTGTTGTTAAACAGGGGTGGTTTAACTATATGTGTCCGTCCCCCTCTTCCCCCTAATTGAAGAGCCAGCATTCCTCTTTAATTAATAGATGAAGAAGCGTGACACCTGTCGCGCATTCCCGTGGCCACCTTTTCGGGATTAGCGCTATTTTCCTCGTATATTACCTACAAAATAAATCTGCGGCGAATTTTGGATGACCTTCCGTAAAAACTTCATTTGCACATCTGCAATTCACATCATGCTTTCCCGTCTAAGAAACGCCTTCACACCCCCCAGCAACCCTTCTGCGCTTCTTGTCCTTGGCAATTTCGGTTCCATGATTTACGTTCTTCATCTCATACCTGAGAACAGTAAGAACGAACACTTCGGCTTCACAACCTTCTCCTCCACTACCGCCTTTCGCCACAGCGGAGCCAGAGAGCAGGCTCGAGAGCAGATTGGCACCGTCACGCTTCACGTTGGAGATGGCGAGACTGCCAGCAGCTTCCTTGACGATGTTGAGATACGGACCCGCAAGCTGCGTGACGATTATTTCGGCTTGACCCCAACGCAGCAGAATGTGACGCAGCTGGTGCAAGACGTCCTCCGGCCGGCAGCGATGGATGCAATTCACGAGAGAGAGACGCGAGGGCCGTCTATGAATGCGACACAGGCATATCCGGTTTTTATTGTTTATATCAGACGCGCAAGAGCAGGGGCCATCCTAGGAGAACCGACAAGCTTTCCTTCTTAAGGTCCTTGCGCTTAAGGTGCAAATAATAGTTGTTCGTCATCGTCCGTTTGCTCAGGTGCGGCTGGGGCACAGCCTTGTGCTACATAGGGTAAAATAGACCAACTCTCACCTTTCACACTATTCATCAACGCACTCCTACCTCTCATCATGCCATTCCGCATGCCCGACCCAGACCACGAAGCCCAGGTTCTGGGTCAGATAAAAAGCAGCGTCTTGCCCGACGGGCTTCTATCGCCTACATAATCCCGCTGCCTCTGCTCCTGCACTCCGCCGAGGCCATCCTACCCTACCACGAGCCCATCACCGAGACGACCGCCATCAGTGCGCACGTCTCCGCCCGCATCTACGCTTTTTACACGCATCTGGCCGCGTTACCTCCAGACGCGGCGCCGCCTGCCGCAGTCCATCGACGAGAACCCGTACTCCAGACGAGTGGAAGCTTCCGAAGATCGGACACATAGATGGCGCTGCAAGCGAGGACTGCATTCTGACGTGTACCCTCATGGCATAGATACTACGCTGATCCATTCCTTGATATTGCACGGAGGTTCGGAATTGTCGGACAGCAAGTATGTTGAGCGACGGGCCCATGCATGGGCTTTCTGTAATAAATCATTACTGACGCAACTGGTTCTGTAGAACAACGGCTGAACTAGACCCGTGCACGCCGACACTCGTCCTGTCGCGCCCTCTATCAGACCCGAGACATGTGACGGAGCGAACGAGCTGACACGGGCGCACGCGCGCAAATGCCGTCAGCCTGCACCGGGCTCTACTCGCCATCGACAAGACGATATTGCTGGTATATCACCCAGATAAAACACACGATACATCATATCTTTGGATGAGGGGTAAGGAACTGCCAAGATGCATGGCTCACGCGACGTGACTCTGATGAAGGAATTGAAATATGAATGTGAAATATGGGCAAGGTCTCGGGACGCCAACCGGACGGATGAGAGCCTGGGCAACTACCCCACGTCGTATTATGTTTTAATAATGTTGTCTCTAGCAGTGTTCGTCGGCAACCGCATGAGACATGGAGAGCCCGCTCTCGCCTACCGTGTCATTTCGGATTTACCACGGAGTGTGGATTGTTTCTCCGTCGCACCATCTGGTTGGCAGCATGTCACTTATGATTCTATCTACCTCCAAGCGGCATGAGACAGTGAGCTTTGGAAGCTCGGCAAATGACCACTCCTGACGGAGACTGATAGAGATTGACCTACACAGTATTCGAACATGCTTTAAGCTTGTTTGTAGATCGGACTGTGTACCGTCTATCGTATTCGGGCTGTATCATAAGTTCGTGGATATTATAAGGAGATGGGGACTGAACCTAAATTATAAGTAAGTATTCGCCCACTTTGTTCATCTCAATTTGGGACGATCTGTCGCCCAGTGCATTTACGCATCGCAGGGCGGAACTATGGCAAGGAACAACACTCTGGTCAAACTATCGCAACTGCCGTGACTTTTTTAAAATTGCCGTCCTGATTGATGAGCCACACCTATACAAGTCCTCTCCAGTGACTTCACACGGATTACTCCATCCAAGACTTGCAGCTTCAGCTCTCTCGGTGAACACGGACAATAGCTCGATGTGACCTGGCATGTTCAATATTCGACTAACTCTAATCTTTCCGCCAATCGAAGGTCATGATAAAACCTGGTTCCAGCATGGAAAGTGCATCGTCTCCAGCGCCTGTTTCGGGTGGTGGTGTGACCTTGCATCGTTCAACGCACGACTCATCGATGCATACTGTCATTCCAGGTGCTATGAGCTGGGTATTCTACTTTAGTCCTAACTGCCGACAGGAAATGTTCTAAACTTGTTTCAAAGTTGTCTACGCATAGCGGCCTGCCGAGAGTTGGCATAGATGGAGTCAGTCAGCCAGTGAAGAAGCCTTTTTCACCTTGAAGTAAGATTCGAACCGCAAACCGACTATATAAAGCAACTCTGGCGGCTCTCTTCCTCTCTCAATATCACTACAGCCAAAGCCTCAATACGACAAGATTCTACAACCTTGACCATTGCCAACTTTACTTTTCTCTTTCTCCAGCAAAAGCCTCATCTACTCTAAACTCCGATGCGATCCCTCTTTGCTACTGTTGTGCTTTTTATAGCAGCTTTGGGGAATGTCGGGGCCTCGCCGAACCTCTCCGCCGACACGCTCGCGCCGAGACAGCAGACAGGGACAGGGACTCTTGCATATCTCCCTGGCGGACCGCCCCTTACCTTCAACTACACGTGCACTGCGCCTAACCCACAGAACTACATCGGTGTCTGGAGCGCCGCCAATCCCGAGGCCCCGACCACGACGGCGCTCATCTCCACCTACGTTTCCGCCAGTGCCGGGACTGTCGTGATCCCGTTCCCCGACAGCCTCCCCGCGGGCCAGTACCTGGCCTGGTTTGTCTCGGCAGGGAGCTTTAACTTTGCGGGCCCAATCGCCGTCAACTTTGGCAGCTGCGTCAAGCCGGGCTCGTCCGTGTGCTTGGACGGCACCGTGTGCTCGGGCGGCGCGTCGCAGTGCACCGTCGACGCGAGGAACCCCAACACCACCATCTGCTGTGTCGCCGGCCAGAAAGCCTTCTACGGCAATTGCTACGACGCCCCCAACGGCGACGACATTGATGTCTGCCTCTACTCACAGAATGAAGATGAGCGCTGGACGGGGCAGGTGTGCGACCTCACCCAGAACAACTATTGTGCTTGCCTCGCCGGGGATAATTGGTCAGCCTGCAAGTGCTGCGCAGCCACACAGTACCTCAGTGGATCTACTGGCAACTGTGTTGATAAGTCATAGCTAGGTACAAATTAGTTTACCCAACAGCCGCGGTCCCTCATATCCCCATCACCGCGCCTGAGAGAATCTAGCAAAGGTGATGATAGCAGGCACGACTTGAAGGCATTTTGCATCAGATATGCAACCAGTTGATTGAATGATAAACCGTACGAGGAAGGGTTTGTGGCCTTTTGAACGTTTTGTACGCTTCCAAATGATTAAGCTTACTTGGAGTTTCATTGAAAACAGCCCGCTCTAAAATCTTAAGGCTTGTGTGTAATGTTGTATTTTTTTTAAAAAAATTGTACATTTAGTTATATTTATTTTATTTTGAAGGATACCAAGATAATAACGAAGTTAATCAATTCTTAATATATTGTGATGTATAAATGTACATTCTATGTCAAATAGTTTACAGGGTAGGTCACTCGGGGTTACACAGCACTCACAGCCCCCTATCGTCCTCATGCCACCCGAAGCTTTTCCTTTCCTTTGCTTGTCACGTACGGCCACGTCTTGGGCGAAATGAGTAGAAACTATTACGAGATCCTCCAAGTTAAGCAATCCGCATCGGAAGCTGAAATTAGGGCAGCTTTCAAACGACTCGCCAAATTGCACCATCCAGACAGGAATCTCAATAGCGCAGATGCAACTGTGCGTTTCCAAACGGTAAGGCCCGCCTCCACATGAAAATGAGACTCTTCGTTGCTAATGACAACACACGTCTTCAGCTCAACAATGCTCATGAGACTCTTGTTGACCCGCTGAAGCGACGTCAGTATGACAGAACCCTCCGACCGCTAGGGTCGAGCACTTATGCGCGTCCACCATCAAAGCCAAAGCCCTCATTCCATCAGGACAGCGAAAGTGACAGGAGACGGGAGAAGAGAATTGCCGAACTAGGAGTGAGTCTTGGTCAATTACAGGCGCAGCAATCTGCGATGAATCATGAAATATGGACAGAGGAACAGCGTTTGGCCAAGATCAGGGCTGAGCTGGACAGCTTCCACGACAAAGGGGATGATGTGGCAGGCAGTGCGTCAAAAGCGAAGCGCGAGTTCAAGTTGACGGCTTGGTTCACGTCGGGGGAGTCGGCCGAAGCCAGAGACGCGAGGGAACGGCGGGTAGCAGAGAGAAGCGCGGCCCGCGCGGTCTTGCAAAAGCAAAACGACCAAATCACGGCCGCGATAGCTGCCCTTCGGTCGCGGGATGAAATCTTCATGGCGCAGATTATGAAGGAAATGAGAGAATTGGCGAGGCTGAATGTTGAACAGGAGAGTCTCGCGCAGAACAAGCCCGAATAACCGTGGTGGGAAAGGGACGCCCCTGAGGCAGTGATTTAATTAGCAAAATGCCGTATGCATCGTCTTTTGGAGTGTCTACTGAATTTTTGTGCTGCACGATGCATCATATCGCATTGACTGAGAGAGCCAGCCATTGAGGCAAGTCTCTAATATAAGGCTGCAACGCCCAAAGACGTGGCCCATGGCCGCAAGGCACACTATAAAAATAAACCACCCTCACGGGCCAGCAGCTTTTCCGCAATTGTGCCTGTCGTTGCTGGGAACTCTCTCAAACCAGCTTGACTTTGCTCTTTGTTTCGCGCCTTCTTGACTTACAACTCATACGACACTCCAATACGCAGAGACATATGCAATGTGCGTATTATTAATATCAGGTTGGCTCGGTGTGACAATCGGTGTGACAACCGATGCACGAGGAAAACCCTATGTGTGTCTGACCGAGGCCCTCCGCGATCAACCGATAAGTAGCAATATATTATTGCTAAGTGTTGTCACCGTGAAGGATCTTGCATGCGTGTTCCGTCTGGCCACTCACAAAACCTGGGTTTTGCATCACATTTCTCGTCCAAGTGCATCCTAAAAATTCCTTTCATGCGGCGGGAAAGGTCTAGGCCAGAGACGATATGCGATGGTAGGTGAGCATCACATATCACATACGTCAAGGTTGATAAGGCTCCCAGCCTGATTTCAGACTCCTTCCTCAGCAAATACAGCCCAAATAGGTACGAAGAAAGACGGACCGTGGCAAAGTCGCTGGTAGGAACACCCACCCGGGACTATCACACCATTTCTATATCTATCGACTTCACGCCGCTCCAAACCACCAATTTACCAGCAACACTTCTTCTCAAGAAAGATTCGCATACATCTCCCCCGTCTATCGCTGGAAAGCCTTGCGCGCATAGTCGTCTCAAACCTGACACAATGCAAATTCCTACATTTGCTCTCCTATTGCTCACTGCGGCAGCCGCCGCCATGCCATTGTCCGACCCGCTTGATGCCAGAGATGCGGCCAGCGCCCAAATCACGTACTACGGAGTGAGGAAGAACACACCCATCCAGATTGTACTGGCGATCAGAGCTAACCATCGAGTGCTCTTCAAAGATATGCACCAAGGCCAATAACGAATGCAAGTACAAAAACCAAAACGGCAAGGATACTTTCGTCAAGTGCCCCAGATTTGCCAACAAGAAGGTATGTGTTCGTCTCTCAACAACCTGCTGATGCTGACTGCTTGTTTGCAGTGCAGCAGGGACTATAACGAATGTTCGTATGATAGCGTCAGCAGAGCCGTGCTGTGCCGCTAGACAGTGTCAATGTGGCCGAGCCTTTTGAACATTTTCCGAGACTTTTCGTGCCAATTGATATATGAGGTTGGGTGTATCCCGCAGACAATTATATGTAGTACATACAGTTGATCATGTAACGGCGCCTCTTTATCAATTCCACAGTGTGCCCCCAAACTCGTTTCCTCTAAATTTATAGGACTCACCCACGCTTCGCCCACAAAGGCGGCCACGCTACCGCATCTCGCCATCTTTGCCCATCCAGCACACCTGCAGCTCCTCTCATGCTGGACATTTGCGAATCCTCCATGTCTCTCCGAGTTCCCCGCCAGTCAGCCCCGCCCTCTCCGCCCGCGTGTGCATCTCGCCCGAACAACCGACAACTTGGTATCGCAACTCCCCGCCTTCATACACACCAACAACACCAAAACCTCGCCTATCCTCCGCCGTTGCATTATCTCAAGGCAAGCCCCATGTCCTGCTTTGCCGCATGTCCCAATTCTTAATACCGACATCTCGAATTTTGCGCATCTACCACAGACCAGCACATGTTCGCGCACCCGGGTTTGTAGATCTAGGGCGGGGCATCAACCATCACGAACTATGCAAAGGGCAATCAACGGTTATTTCATATATCTTTATTTCTCGAGTTCTTTTTCATTAACATTGTAAATCACTTTATACATTCCAGTAAGGCGTTGTTTATCGACCCTTACAGCTGGAGGAAGTAGGCTTCCCACTTATCATACACGGGAGTACCGAGACCAGTCACAGGGTCCCAGCCCTCGACGGCAGAAAAGCCGTTGTTGCCGCAGGCACTGTAGCCACGGTCGCTACCAACACCGCCCAGCTCCTGGTTGCCGACTGTGACGTCGTTGAAGGTCCCCTTGCGCTTGGACATGGCGTACAGAGCAGGGTTGGCGAATCCAATCGGCCCCTTACCGACACTGAGGCGCTTCTCGTTGATGCGGTTCAGGATGGCGGCCACAATGGGCGCAGACATGGAGGTGCCGCCAGACAAGCCGAGACTGCCGCCGACGGCTACCAGGCCGTTGTCGCCGACAGCGGCGACATCAGGGAAGCCACGTCCTCCGCGGTTGTAAATGCCGGCGTCGCCAGGGATGTCACCCTCAGAGGTGTTGTAGGCAAAGTATCCGGGGTTGTGGCGGAGGAGGTAGTGGCCGACGACGTCGTCCTGCCACGTCGGGCGGGTGAAGATGTTGCTGAAGCCGCCGCCAGAAGAAAAGGACTCGGTCGCCGACTCGGGCTTGTCAATAGTGTGGATGAGGGTAGAGCCGACGGCGGTGATGTACGGGCAGCTGCAAAGATCATCGGCGACAAAGATGTCATGGTGAGGGCCCAGGCAGTAGCCGTTGCGGTCAGTGACGCCAGCATCGCCGCTGGCAACAACAGTGGTGATGCCCATGAGTCCGAGCTTCATGAACTCATTGCATTGGCGCTAGATTAGTGTTAGCGAACAAGCTCTCGGGCAGTCTTTTTGGCATTTCGGATACACACATGGGCGCTCTTGGGATCGGTGGGATCCTCGGGGCCACCGTAGGAGATGGAGATGACGTTGGTCGGCTCATACGAGCCGCACATTTTATGGTTGTTAAAAAGGGGATCCTGGCTGCAGTAATCGCTGTCAATGGCGCTGAGGAAGTCGCCAAAGATGTTGTAGTACTGATCAGCCTTTACCTGGAAGAGGGTGGTGCCCTGGGGGTAGATGATGGGGATCGCCATGTCAAAGTCCAGCAGGGACTCGCCGCCGGCATTGGCGGGGCTGTTGGGTGCGGTGGCGCCGTCGATGAGGTCCAGCTGTGGACCGGTGCCGGCGGGGATGTACGGAGCGGCCTTGCTGTAGAAAAGGTCGAGATCCTCTTGCGAGTAGACGTCGCCGAGGGACTCGTAGATGCCGAGGCGGTTGGTGCTGTTGGTGCCTGTGGCCTTGGGAATCTTGTACAGGTAGGCGATGCAGTCAGGAGTAACAGCTCTGCTGCAAATTTGCAGGTACGGAGCTAGGAGATGTTCAGTTAGCCTTGTCTTCTGCTTGATTACATTTCTCCTAGGGGCATGCGCTTACGTAGGGTAGAGTTTGCGGCGCTGTGCGGTTCGCCTCCGGCGCTGGGGCCAGACTTGATAGCTTCGTCGACGCTCTTGATCTCGTCCTGGCTCAGCTTGCGGACGGGCTCGCCAATGGCAGCGTCGCCGGTGGCGGGCTTTGTCGCGCGGACGGTGACCTTGGTCATGGCAGGACCGGGGCGGATAAAGTCGACAATGTCGAGAAGGTTGTTGGGCAGACTGTACTCTTCGGCGCCAATGTGGTCCTGGCCCGAAGCGGTGCTGCGGTAGATATGATACCTCGTCTTCAGGGCCCTCTCGACGACGCCAGCGGTGGTGTCCACGGTGATCCAAGTTTTGGTGGGGTTGACGCGGATGTCCTTTTCGGCGATGCCCTGGCCAACCAGCCACTGCTTGACGGAGTCGATGCTCTTGTCATTGGCAGCAAACAGCTTGACGACGTCTTCCTTGGACAGGTGCTTGCCGTAGTTGGGCGAGACGGGGTTGGAGCTGTAAGCTTCTTGTTAGCCCAGATACAATAGCGGAGATGCACGGCCAGAACGCACATGTCGTAAAGTATGTCCTCTGCCTCTTGAAGGCTGCCCTGCTTCAGAGCAATCTCGAATGGGATCTTGGCACTGGATTCGACAGCGGCTCGCTTCTCGAAGCGCACATCCTGGGCCAGATTGCGCCGCTGGTGAACAGTGTGTGTGTCGGAGGGGAGGGCAACGGCACCAGCAACCAAGCTGGCAATGAGCAGAGTGGTCTTCATGATTGGAGGTAGCTAGTTTACACTGACAACGTCGATCGAAGATGACAAGATGAACAAGTCGTCGCTGGCGAAGGCTGGTATATATACTCATCGGCACTCTCCAGCTCCCGCAGCGGGACAATGTCGTATTTCCATCGGCGACCATGGCGTACAGGAACCCGGTCTCCTGACACCAGCCATCAGTTCTTCTCTCCAATTGCACGGCCTTGACAGACCATATCAAGTGTCTGAAGAGTACCGGCTCCGCTTCCGCTGCAACTCTGAGCCATTGGTTTAGGAAGGTGAGCAACGACGCTAGCAAAAGGGCCATAGGGTTGCAGTGTTGATCCGAGTTGTCCCCCCGAGAGAACAGCTCCACCCGGAACAAAGGATTGTGATGTTCAGGGCTGAGTCGCTGACAGCTTCGCCCAGCCTCACTCAGTACAGGCCAGTTGCGAGAAAAAAGAAGACGAAAAACAGAGTGAGACATGGTGGAGAATGCAAGTCATCTCATCGAAAATCAGCGCCTCACAATGACGTTGTTATCGCAGAAGACCTGACGACCCCAGATCTGTGCGCCGTCCTTGGCTAGTGACTGATTGTGGCTTTTTACCAAGAGATGTCATCGTCGGGGGACGAGATGGATCAAGCCCACCCGATTTTTAGCGTGCTGGGCATTGTTGGAACTCGGTGCAAGGAACATGTACTAAAACAAGGAACCGTCGGGAGACGACGATGCCGCGCCCGCCCAAGATGCACGCCAGCCGCCACTTGGTTGAGGACTTGCCCATCTTGGAAGGTAAAAGATGGACGTCGTATAGCTTTCACTATCCCTCGTGCCGACAAGGCCGGCTGAGCTGCAAGCCACTTGGTGTGTGTCCATGCGGAGAAACGAATGTGGAGTGTGGGTGGCCTTTTTGTTTCTCGATTTCAAACATGGCCCGCGCCGAAACTAGCTCATAATGCCAAGAACACTTCTACTGAACCTGTTAGTTCACCTGCAATATCCGTGCCGAGCTGCGGTTCGAGTTAGCTCAGCCCGCTGGGTCCGTCACCTTGCGAGGCAACGTTGGAGGGCAATGCTGGCCAGGATCAAAACGCGTAGTCATTCAAGTCTAACCCTGACACATGCATACACGCATTGACCCCCAAGGTACCTTCGAGCCTGCAGTGGGCGGCGGGGCCCGGCCTCTTTTACTGAGCCAGCCGGCAAGGCATCGCGAAATGGCGGGCGGATTTTATCAGTAATCGCAGGAATAAGTACGAACGTACGGATTCGTATAGCGAGATGATTCCACTGGCTCGGCATCTTTTATCGAGTCTGTTCTTGCTCATCAAGGTCGTCCGCTTATACCACTCACTGCCTGACTGACTGTGCAGAGAGAGAGGTCCTCCTGTGACCATGTTGGGTCCTTGTCAGGCGCTTACGCACCCACCATTTTCGCATGTATACCTACCTAGTTGTAACTGTTTTCAAAGGTACTAATATATTTATTTACTATTTATTGAATAACACTAATTGGGCCTTCTGCTCCTTCTAGTACCTCGATAAATTTGTGCGGGCTGGAAAACCCGTGGCAGGACCGTTGCCGGGTCTCGCGCAGTTGAAAACCTCCCCTCCAGTGCGTCTTCTCTACTGTCGCGTCTTAATGGTGTTCAGTGGTTCTCGATAGGCTGCTACCTCGACCACGTCTTCCGAATCATCTATCAACCATCGATACTAATTAGGTACATCAATTTGCTTGCCATCTGTGTGTACACCTAAGTAGCTGACCAGTCCCCCGCCATAGCGCCTTCTATAAGGTGTGTGCTAACGGTATTTGTATCGTTTTTAACGTTGCCAGATATTAAGATATTATTAATTGTATAATTTGCTTCGAGTACGGAGCAATGAATTTTCACGTGACGGGCGGCCGCATATTATTGGTTTCAGTAAGCGCCGTGGCAGTATTGGTGTACAATTATAAACATGGCAGAGACTGCCATTCATTCTAGCTGAACAGTTCCTACATCAACATCACCGCATCAACACCACCGCATCAACACCACCGCATCATCATGCCTTTTTCTAACAAAGAACGTCTGTACGTGGCGTTGTATGCTCGTGGTGGCAACCCCACAATGCCGGGCGGCGAGGATAAGTAGGCGCTACCTGCATTGTGCGACTTATGGGCAGCACTAACGACACTTTTCTCGACAGGTACCATTGGGCCTTGGTTTTAGGCCCAAAGATGGAACGCTACAACTCTCGCGGGACTCGGTTTCATGCACATGAAAAGATGCATTTCGCTGATGGCGAAGCTCGGTCGGTCTGGGAGTTTGAAGAGCGAGATATGAGTATGGCGCCGACTGCGATGATACTAGTCCGCATTTTGATAGCCAAGGTCAAGGACCGGAACGGCCTCTTGGCAGTCTTGCGAAGCATACCCATCCGAGAGTCACAGCCTGGGTGGAACTGCGTATACTGGGTTCAGGAAGCAATACAGGCTTTATATCGACACCAGGAATCAGGATATGGTATATTTGAAAGATCAGCGTACCAGCTGGATTGGGACGCAGTTCTTGCAACTGCGCTCTGGTATGTCAAAGAGAAACAGCTTTCTCATCGGTTCGATGGGCAGGCAGCGTCAGGCACATTCGACCAATCAAAAGTGGCTACCTGGGATATGTTACAAAAGCGCGAGCGTATCCCTTGAGACGCCTTGGACCCGTTTAGCAAAATCAGAAGTCGCCGAAATACTTTCTCCTGATTGTTTCCATTTCTAGTGCTTGTTCCGGTCGATCAAGAAACCTGTCAACCTCCTGCTGCCAAAATTGGTTTTGAGGGTTAACATGCCATGCCGACGTATATTCCCAGTAAGGAGGCATCCACCCCGCGGTTTCCCAGTCGATAATGCCGACGATTTTGTCGCCTTGCGCTAGGATGTTCAGGCTGCTTAAGTCGCCGTGCGTGAAAACTGGCTCCTCCCAGAGCTGGTCGTGGAATGAGATGAGCTTTGATAGGCCATGGGAAATGTCGCTGCCATCTTGTTTTATGTTTTCAAGTTCTATTCCGTTGCGTAATTCACGGTGAAAGTCTCGAATCGACGGAAAGGGTCCCCAGCTGCTTCGGCCAGGGAGTCTGTGATCGAAGATCGGACCTCCGCAGACATTGGATATACCGGCACTTTTCGGTGCTCGTATCTGGCGGATCTCCTGCGTCATATCGCGAAGCTGGGAAAGAATGGCCTCCTTTGATGCTGCGGACCTCTGCACCCACCCTACAGAAAGTGGTTGGCCCCGTATTCTCTCCATGACAATGTAGACGATTCGGTCGTGTTCAAATGCCATATGAACCTTCGGGACTGGCACGGTTGACGATGCGGACACGAATCTCATGGCTTCGGCTTCAGCGAGCGTCGTGAAGGAGGTAGATTTGATGCAGACACTGGGTGTGACGAAGACGATACTATTGGGTTGGTGGAAGCACCGGCGCATAATTCTGCTCGACATTATCCTGAAAAGTAGCAAAAGCACAGTTCGAGTGAGCTTGCCATCATTGTAAATGTTATGCGCCATAGTGTTGTTGGCACTGCCAGAAGGGGCACACAGGACGAGTGAAATTCAGTTGTTGGTAATTCGTAATTTGTACCAAGTACGTACTCTGTACACGCTGGTGGGTCCGTTGGTGGAAACAGCTACGGTTGACGGAGGGTCGTTCTTCCGGCTTCCGTGCCGTTTGTCTTGGACACCAAGTCCTTCCACCCATTTGTTCCTGACGAGCCTTGCTCGATCAATCCCCACGATTGCAAAATGCGCCTCATCAGGTTGATTCGGAGCGTGCGACTGTCGGCCCCGTATTGCGTCACCGCCGGCGTAAACGAGAGAGGGACAGAACCCGAGAGGCCTCGTCACAAAAGAATTGAGAGGGGCGGGATTCGTGTCTGCGGTGACCGGAGTTCAGAAGCGCCGCAGTTGTAACTGATGTTCGGCTCCCGGCAAGTTGCAGGGCTGTGCAACCATTGTCGCAGACGAGGGGCACCCAACCAACCAAGGGCATACCTTTTTTTGCTCTTCTTTTGTGTCTCAGAGTTGGTTCTTCTCCGCGTGGCTGGCTGCAAGGCGTGGCTAGAATCCGTGGCCTGTTTTGGGTAAGGATTTCCGTACAAGGCTTGTTGTGTCTCAACAGACGAGGAAATTTGGCACACTTCTTTCTCGTGAACCAGGACAAAATAACCAACTACATCAACACCTCCAAGAACAACCGCAGAGGAACAAGGGAGTTTGTACGACAAGGGTCTACCGAGATTTCGCTCGCTATTCCCGGGACTAACTTGGACAGGGCGGCCACATACGTCAGTCCAAACAGCATCTCCCAAATCCCGTTCCGGCGCTAGCAGTTGCGATTTGCCAAAAAAAAATAGTGGCTTGACGAAAAGCAGACTCTCGCCGGGCGCGTAGAGCAAAGGAAGTCTGGAGAGGGATTGCGTGGATCGAGATTAGTGGTGGGTCACCTGGGCGCAGCTTCGCGACGGGATTCAGAAAGGCTTGCGCAATCCTTCAACTTTTTTTCTAGTATTGGATGCGACGTTTCGATAATCGCAAAGGTTTTTTAATTTCACGGCCCCTTTTCGCGGCGATTCGAAGTCGCGCAATCGCGTGCTTTTCTCGTACCCTCAGCGTTACTCTCTGTGGCCATCAGCTGGATACAGCCAAATGCGGCAGAGGAAGTGCAAGAGCCCTCGAATCAACAGGACGATCTGCTATCAAAGAAACGACGTTATCCTAGTTGGGCTCCATTGGGCGACGGCGCACGCCCAAATCTCACAAGTGGAACCTGGTGACGGCAAAGGCTGACGTCTAGGGCTGTGGCTGTGGCAGGGTCCTGATTGTAACTAATAGTTCGCTTGTGAGAGGCTCTGTCAGGACATCTTGGTTACCGGATTGGGACAGTTTCACCGTACGGGATTCACGAAAGATATAAGAAGCCATGGCTCGCCGCGAGCCCAATCCCGGATTTGCGCTGTCTCTTTTCATGCTTTATTTCACTGGACAATAACCTCCTGAGTGCTTTTCTTTTCTTTACAATAACGAATCTCGCTCGAATAGACTCGACACTACTCACAACAAACCGGCCAACATGTTAGGCATCGGCGACGACGACGATGGCGATTCGTGCCCCACGCACAACCTCACTTCCCGTAAGACTTACACTCAACAACCACGACAAAGTATTACAAATGGCTGAGATTTTTCTTTCAATATAGGCGCCAACAAGACTTTTGTTGCCGGTCTCACATTTCAAGAATTCAACCGCATCCTCGCAGGGGCCTGCACAGCGCTGGCCTGCATCGTCAGCTTCCTTCACTTGTGGCGCCATGCCACTCATCTATCGGTGCCCCGTCAGCAGGTCAAGTAAGCAGCCTCATTGCGAGCGCTCCTCGAATCAAGCGTGGTTTCACTTTTCTGACTTTTATTTTCTGTGCAGGGTCCTGAGAGTCATTTCGCTCGTGCCCCTCTACGCCATTGTCAACCTGCTCTGCATCTGCTTCCCCCAGGCCCAAGTCTACCTCGACCCAATCCTCGAGCTTCTCCAAGCACTCTGCCTGGCCTCCTACTTTATGCTTCTCTGCGAGTACATTTCGCCCCACGACGAAGGTCGCGATGGCTTCTTCTCGCAGATTGAGATCAAGGACAAGAAGGCCGACGGTGGTGTTGTCCAGGATGGTGTCAAGTGGTTCGCTGTAAGCCATTCCCCGGAGTTTCCCACAACACGTCCCGAATACTGCGAATTCTGACACAACTCACAGCAACGCTGCTTCATGATCTTCCAGTACCCCGTCATTGCCCTTGGCGTCGCCGTTGCCACCATTGTCACCCAGGTCGCGGGCGTCTACTGCCAGTTTGAAAGCAAGACCAACTTTGCCAAGCTGTGGCTCAGCATCGCCACCGCGCTCTCCTCCGGTCTGGCCATTGCTGCCGTGCTGCTGGTCGCCGTACAGCTCAAGACGCACATGCCTAACCTCAAGCCCATGACCAAGCTCATTGCCATCAAGCTTGTCGTCGGCCTCGCCTTTCTCCAGCAGATTCTCTTTTGGATCCTGCAGAGCACTCACGTCCTCAAAGAGACCGACACCCTCACCTACGCCGACCTGCACTACGGCATCCCCTCGCTCCTCAGCTGCTTGGAGATGGTACCTATTTCCTTTGTCGTTCTCTGGGCCTACCCCGTCGGCCCCTACAAGCTCGAGTCTCTGGTCGCCCGCGGCGCCGAGCGTGGCGAGACTCAGCACTGGGCGCCCACCTCGTACCAGGGCGGCTTCCTCGGCATCTGGGCGTTTCTCAGTATGCTCAACCCCGTTGATGTCATCAAGGCCACCTTTGCCGCTGTTGGCGTCGGTGCCCGCGACTACGCCTCGGCCAAGATGAACCGCAGAGACAACGGGAGCAAGACCTATGCGACTGGTCCTGGCTACCAGCAGCCCCCAAACCAATACCGCCACGATTACCAGGGCCAGTCTCGAGGCCAGTCCCGGGGCCCTGCTGGGCTTGCCCGCGAAGCCTTGCATCAATTTCGCGACGGCCACAGCAATGGTCAGGGCCGCCAAAATGGTCGAGCCTACGACCACGCCCGTGGCAACTCGTACAATGAATACCACGAGTCATACCCCATGAATCAGCGACGATAGACGGCTCAGCTTTTTCACTCATTTTGTACTTTTATTGCATCAGATTCAAAGCGTTATTCTTGATTTAAAAGGGAATTCTCATGTACCTACGGAAATAGACAGTAATACACAGCTTGACCAACTCACCATGCTGCAACCCGTGATGAACTTGCCGGACTGATAGAGTCGTCGGCGGCAAAGACCTCGGCAGAAAACTTGCTTGTTATATGAACATTGCGCTACACTTTGAATTTCAAGGTAATTTGACCTGTATTTTATAGTAGCCGCAGACACTGACGCTGCTTTCGCTCGAGTGTTGGTGATGGTACCAAGCGCTCAAGGGTAACAGACACGGGCCGTCTCACTGCAAAATGACCTCCAATTGAAGATAATGGGTATTGAGGGAAATAGTCGTAGTGCTAGATTTTATTAGCCATTTAGCTTATGATGTCAACTGTGATGTTACCTTGTACTAGCAGTCTTTTGAGCCGTGACTTTTGTTGGCCTACATATTCACGGTACACTCAGTGACATGGCGGCAAAATAGTATTCAATTTGGCTATATAAACTTGGCATTGGCTAGCCGGGAGGACCTAGAATACTATCTGGTGAATGGCCCATGAGGGTCCTCATCACACCAGGCTTGTAGCACAGGCAGCTCCGAAAATCTACGGGCAGTTGGCGACAGTGTAGTAAGCCTTGCCGTCATCGAGAATGGCCTGGATGTCTCTGGCCTGTCCCTGAGCAATGCTCTGGGCGGCGGCAGCAGCCTTGGAGACGATGGTGGCGACGAGGGTACCGGAAGCAGTGTTGATGTCGTTGATGTTGTTGCGGACGAGGGCGCAGTTGCCGGTGGCGATGACGGTGGGACGCTTGTTCTTGAGGTCGGTGACGAGGGTCTGCGCATGGGTCTTGAAGGTGTTGACGTTTGCGTTGAGCGCCAGAGTGTCGGCGAGGCTGAGAACGGGCTGGCCGGCGAGGTTGGTGTTGCCGCTGATGAGGTGGTTGATGAGCGTGGTGGCAGCGGCCTGCACGGGGACCGTGTTGCCGGTGAAGCCGACGACGGCGACGTCGAGATTGTCGACGTCGGTCTGCACGGTGCTCAGAACCAGCTGGAAGTCGGAGAGGGCCCGAGGAGCAATGTTGGCAAGGGCGCCAGCGCTGAGGAAGGCAACGGCAACGTGAGCAGAGTACTTCATGGTGAGAAGCTGGGTGGTTGAAATGAGATTTTGAGAAGTGTTTGTTGAGTGGCAGAGGAAGGCAGAGGAGTGTCTGTGTTGATTCAGATATCAAAGGCAATTTGAAGAGAGAACAACGAGGGTTTTTATATCTGTTCATGAGTATATAACTCTCATGCTATCCTTGATGAACCTCGTTTTCATGTGCTCCCGAGGCCCAGCTCCGCCTGATTCTAGCATTTGCACGCCACAGATGCTGAGTATTTCCAACCAGAACCGTTCGTTCTGGGACATCGTTGCTGACATTACCCCGCATGTTGCCTGATGTCGTCTGGGAAAGGCAGCTCTGGAGTCTTGACCAGCTACGGTCCGCCCCGTCAGCCAGTACAGGAACGGCTGCGATGTAACTCTGTTTGGTATCTGATTGGTCAGTTATATTAATTAACTTTATAGATGCTGCAGAGCTGTTCACGCTCCACGAGGCGGGTCCAACGGGTGACCAGCGGGAGCCAGACATTGAGTTCAAACTGCCGGACGATCAAGTCGAGTGCCGCCATCGTCACGCATGGGTTACCTCGCTTCATTATGTCAGTTTGTACAGAATTTTGTCCTCGGTATCTCGTGTGAGCTGGACATATGTGTCACAATTTGAGAATATCTTGGCTGGCCGCGGTTTGTGCTTCCCGGTCTTGCTCGCAGCCCAAGCTGACAGCACCACGCACAACAACCTTTCTCCAAGCGACGACTGACGCGAGCAAGATCTACATGGGAATAAAAGGTTATTGTCTCGAGTTACACTGCAGAGAAACTCTTGGCTGTATGTCTTGATGCGGGAAGATCGTGCGAAAGCGGCCATGAGATACGGGAGCAGCCAATGGGGCTGGGATCCATCTCATAGATTTCTGCCCTTTCTGGCGGACTTGCACCCTGTACATTTTACCCCAGACTATACATACATGGCTTCGAGTACCGACATACATTACAAAGGGCAGATGCATATAAAGTGAGCCGGGTGCTAAGAAACAGCACAGATGCACATACGGAAGTGCGTCGGTGCTAAGAAACAGCCCACCGACCATGGACTAACAAAACTTTATTGGAGTTGGGTAGAGACGGAAAACATTGGGCAGGGGCCCGAGGCTTGGTCCCGAGGCTTCCATCCCATCACTTGAGCAATCTCCAAGAAGCTCGCTTCGCTCACAGAGGCAACCTAACCCAGCTCTAGCGCCCGCTCATTCAAGCTCGAATGCGAGAGTGACAGGTCCGCCACTGTCCATGGGACGGCCGAGTAGACGGTGGCGTCGATAGTCAACGCCACCTTGGTCCAATCGAGTAAGAGCCACGGTGAGAGGATCGCACGCAACTTCCTGGGGTATAAATCCGCGGCGGGGGGAAAGGCGAGTCGGGCGAACTTTGTGTTGCCGCCCGTTGACGGGTTGGCTAATAATAAAAGAAGAGCAAGCCCACTGGTAGTGTGGCGGAACGGCTCTGAGGGTGGCTCCGTATAACTAGTCTCGCATTATGACACATTGGGAAGACTATTTTTACGTAGCGGGGACCGGGCCTAACGATATTAGCAAAGGAACAAAACCTGCATTACGAATAAACGAAAATTTTCAGCCTCTTGGCTTGGGGTGGGTGTGGGTTTGCCGCCATAAACTGGCCATGAGAACAAGAACAGGTGGTTTCCGCATCTGTGCAATGGGTCTATTGCTGCAAGTTCATGCCCAGTTTGATGAGACAAGACGCGGCCATCGTCCAAGCTTGGAAATAACTGCTCTCGATCGGGAAGGGGGGCTTGAGCGGGAATCTTGTTGCTTGGTTTCCCCGTCCTTCCCCCAAGTTCAAACCCGGACCCAGCTTACCCCGCGCATTGTTGTAGTTGCCAGTCCGTGCCAACTTGGCAAGAACCGGGGTGAAGTAAACCTACTTTGGAGCGGGTAAGCATGGGGTTCGTGTCGGTCTATTGCCCAAATGGGTTGGCATCGCCCGGCCCCGGACGCCGCTTCATTGGAGGCAACAACGGTTCGACAAGTGACTTGACCACACTTTCTGCTGTGGCTTGGCCAAGGTGCTAGTCTGGCAGGTTGGTGGCTGCTCATTTCCTGGTCATGCAGCTGAGGCTCCTCGTATCCTGGAAAGAACGCAATAGACTCATTTCGCTACTGCAGCCTGATGTTCCGCCCGCAGGCGCTCGCCTCGGTAGCTTGTGAGGATGTAACAGCGAGCCAGACCGTCGAGAAGAGCCGCTCTCATAAAGCTGACCTCGCCCGCCCCGTCCTGTGTACAAAGGGAACTTTTTTCCGCTTGATTCAGCAATCAAACTCGTCAACGTCACTCGTTTAGTCCTCCTTGCTTCAACCGACCTCTCTTTCCACTGCCTTCAATCCCCATAACTATGAAGCTGTCCCAGATTCTGGCCGTGACCGGCCTCGTGAGCCGCTCGGCGAGCGCCGCCTCCCTGTACGACACGATTGTCGCCGCGGTGGAGCAGTCGGACCGGGACACGATCGCGCTCAACGCGGCGGCGGCCGGGTTCAACGGCGACATCAAGCCCGTCACCGACGCGGCCAACGTGCTCGTGGCCAACGTTGTCAAGAGCCAGGAGACCATCAACGCGACGCCCGGCGCGGACCTGACGACGTCCGACGTCGCCAACCTCGGCACCCCCGTCTTCGCCCTCTACACCGACTCGCAGACGCTCGTCGCCACGCTGACGGCGCAGCGGCCCGTCGTCGAGCAAAACAGCCTCTGCGGCCTGGTCCAGTCCCAGACGGCCGAGATTGCCGCCAAGTCCAACGCGCTGATTGACACCATCAGCAACCGTGTGAACCCGGCGGACCGCGAGGCTGCCGCTGCCATCAGTGGTCTCATTGTCGAGTCGCTGAACCAGGCTATTGCCGCGTACAAGGACTGCAAGGATGCCAACCCTCCCACGTCGTCTTCCACCACTGCTTCCTCTACTGCCACCACTGCTACCACTGCTACCACTTCCTCTACTGGTACCACCTCGACCGGCACTACTTCTTCTACTGGCACTGGCACCACCACTGGCACCACCACTACTGGCACCGGCAGCACCTCGACTGGTACCGGCACCACTTCCTCGGGAACTGCAACTACCAGCACTGGCACCACCGGCACCGGTAGCACTGGCACCGGTAGCACTGGCACCAGCACCGGCACCACAACGACTGGTACTTCCACGAGTGGTGTGACTACCAGCTCTCAGTGGAACAACGGAACTACTACTACTGCCCCTGGTGGCGGTGTCACGGTTACGACCATCTGCACAACTCCCTCTCCTTCTACCACTGGCGGTGGCAGCGGTGGCAGCGGTGGCAATGGCAATGGCGGCTCTGGCTCCGGCTCCGGCTCTGGTAGCGGCTCCGGTTCTGGCTCTGGCTCCGGCTCTGGTAGCGGCTCCGGTTCCGGCTCTGGTTCCGGCTCTGGCTCCGGCTCCGGTGGTAGCGCTCCCCCTGTTGTTGTCAACGGCGGCAGCATCATGGCTCCCGCCGGTGCCCTGGCTCTCGCCATCGCCGCCCTCGTCCTGTAATCGGTCCTCTCTTCACTTCCATGTCCAGCACGCTTCGACGTTGTCTCTTTGGAAAATGTCCCCTTTACGAGCGAAAATGTACCACCTAGTATACCTCTTTTTTTATCTTCTACTACAGAGTTTAATCTGGCTTTTATTTTCCATTGTACACCAACCTTTGCCTTTGTGAGTATGTACCATGTTCCTTTTCCAACTCGCTTCTCGCCTTGGCGCAATGACAGGCTGCCATTTCCCCAGACAGGGTCATGAGACTCGTTGCCGATTTCATCATGTTAGCGCCACTTGGCCTTGCTCAGCCATACACTGCCCACCCCGTCGCCCCTGTCATTAGCGGCCGCTGGGCTGGGGGAAGGGCTGAACTGCCTAGTTCATAACTTAATAACTAGCTTGTTAAGAATACATGACTGAGTAACTGGGCCAGAGCCGTACGAGATAAGTCTCCGCTCGCCCACACACCTAAAAAGCAGCCGTTGCCAATCAACTGCCAAGAAGGCGTTGATAATTGATAATAGAGCGTGGGGGATATACACCAGGGCTGTCAGGTCCCATTGTCATATGCCGCCATCTCAATGGCACTGCGTATCCAAGCTTTTGACTGAGCAGCTTGACAATTATTCCCAGTTTCCCCTCATGGGTGGAGGAAGCGCTGGTCGTTCGTATGGGCGCCGTGGCGTCTTAAGCGCACATGCCCGTGATGAGGCTTAATCCGTGCGCGTCGAGCTGAGGTCGCATGCGGAAATCTGTTAAACGTCGGCGAACAACGTACTTTAGCTTGATCATGTCCCCTTTTTCCAATCTCGCTCAGGGCGGGCCTCTTCTCGTCCTTCATTTCCATCACGAATTGGACGCAGCAACTCTCCACCCGCCATGCGTCTCCGTTGCTCAGCATTATTGCTCCTTGGTGGCGTCTTGCAGTCCGTAATTCCGGTCCAGGGCCAGCAGCCCCTGAAGCATGACGTGCTGCAGAGGTCCCTCGAGGCCGGCACTTGGGCGGTTCAGACCAGGGACATGTTTGAGCTCAAGACGTGCGAATCCTGCCAGGTGGGCTCGCTCTTCATCAGCCATGCGGCCCGTCGACTAACAATATGTGACAGAGCCTTATTAGTGTGATCAAAGGGCTGGTCGCCGACAGCGACGAGCCGCTCATCTCGATTGGAAAAACCCTCTGCTTGGCCAGTACCGTAAGAAACCGTGTCTGCTTGCCCAGGATTCCATCACCCTAATCCTGCGATAACTAGTCTTATGATGAGGAATTCTGCGCGGGTACAATTGAGCGCGAGGTGCCCGCGCTGGCCGCCCTGGCGCGCAACGTAGAGCCCAACTCGACGGCCGCGATCCAGTTCTGCATTACGTTTCTCGGCGTCTGCGAGTACCCCAAAGTCGACGAGTGGGCGGTCCCGTTCCCGTCGAAGCCGTTTTGCGATGCGAAAGCGCCCGCGCCCAGCAGCAAGAAGCCGCTCAAAGTCGTTCACTACAGCGACATCCACGTCGATCCGCTCTACGTGGCGGGCACGAGCACCGAGTGTAAGAAGCCAATCTGCTGCCGGTATGTCATGTCCAGCTCCCAACGTATCCTTTTTGATCATGCGTTCATGTTTGTGAGCCAGGCAATTCTCCAAAGATGACGAGCCCGGTAATGCAACGTCTCTCTCTGGTCCCTACGGCGATCACAACTGCGGCGTGCCCGCCTCGCTCGAGCTGAGCATGTACAAGGCCATCGAGAAACTGGTCCCGGACCAAGCATTCACCATCTTCACCGGCGATATCGTCGATCACATGATCTCGAATACCAGCAAGCAGTACAACCTAAATGAAAGTAAGCAAAACTTGCCGCACGGCTTCCTTCCGCGCTCGCCACTGACAACGTCATTCAGTCGACGACGCCTACAACAAGATGAACGACAGCTTCAAGCTCGTGTACGGCACCATTGGCAACCACGAAGTGCACCCCGTCAACATCTTCGAGCCCAAGTCGGTGGGCAACGCGTCGCAATGGGTCTACGACGCCGTCGCCAAGAAGTGGGCGGCGTGGATCGGCGACGCCGCCAAGCAGCAGGTCCTCGACACCGGCGCCTACTCGACGCTGTACCCCGGGGGCAACCTGCGCGTCATCTCTCTCAACACCAACATGTACTACCGCTTCAACTTTGCCGTGTACGGGCACAACATGCCGCGCGATCCCAACGGCCAGCTGGCGTGGCTGGTCGCCGAGCTGGACAAGGCGGAGCAGGCCGGCGAGAACGTCTACATCATCGGCCACATGCCCATGGGCACGTCCGACGCGCTCCCCGACCAGGCCAACTACTTTGACCAGGTCGTGCAGCGCTATGCGACGACGATTCGCGCGCTATTCTTTGGCCACACGCACGACGACCACTTCGAGGTCAGCTACTCAGACTACGCCAAGCGCGACGCGCAGCACGCGACCGCCATGTCCTACATCTGCCCCTCGCTCATACCCACGGCCGGCATGCCCGCCTTCCGCATCTACGACGTCGACCCGGACACCTTTGCCATTCTCGACGCCGTCACCTACATCGCGGACATGTCGGACCCGGCCTTCCAGACGTCCGGGCCCGTGTGGAAGGAGTACTACTCGGCGCGGGCCTCGTACGGCCCCCTGTTGTCCCCGCCCGTCGCGGCCGGCGCCGAGCTGGGCCCCTCCTTCTGGCACAACGTCACGGCGGCGTTTGCCAGCAACGCGACGCTGTTTGGCGAGTACGTGTCCCGGAAAAGCCGCGGCTGGCGGGCCAAGCCGTGCGACGGGGCTTGCAGGGACGACGAGATCTGCCAGCTGCGCGCCGGGCGCAGCCAGGACAATTGCCACAAGATCAAGCCTGGTGCGACGTTTGGCAAGCGGGATGGTGGGCTGCCGCCGAGGCGGGCCAAGTGCGACGATCCCGTCATGGCGGATATGCTGCGTCTGCTCGCCACGCGGCAGGATCTGCTCGAGGAGCTGCAGGCCGGGTTCGTGGCGAGACGCGCTACGATTATGCCCTGGAAGCCGGAGGAATCGGTCATGCGCGCACGGTCGGCCGTTTCGCTGGGATCGAGGGACGATGAGGCGACGTGTGTGGAGCGTGGCTCAACCACTTCAGGTAGTGCAAGTGGCACGGCGGCTTCACCTTCGGCAACAAGTCCGTCACAGTCGTCCGCTCTCACCTTGCAGCTTTCAGTGGTGCTCCTAACCATCACTACGCTGACTGCCATACTATGCATGTGTTGAGGGCCAGCGCTTCTGGTTACACGGCTTGGCAGCAAGACTAGCATGTACAGAGGGGCTTACATGGTACATGGTATCGAATATATTCATAGCTCAAATACCGTTACACAGAGACTCGTATTTACATGGAGGGCTGGTACAGCTGTGCAGACCCAGGGACAGACCATCTCCTGGACAGCGTTTGGTTGTTGCTCAGATACGGACCCAAGCTAGGCGGCAAGTCGGCCACAGCCGTGCCCCAGCTGCTCTCATTCTTTCCGAGCGTCAAGACAAGCTCCTTGCCCTCTGTGAAGAAAGAATGATCAATCCAGTTCTTGGTATACTCCTTGCCGTCGAGCGTTGCGCTCTGAATGTAAATGTCATGATACGCGGCGTCAAAGTTGACGTTGCGAATCGTAGCCGTCTTGCCCGTGACGGGATTCTTGATGGACACGCTCGGAAAGAAGGGTGGCGTGATGAGGTAGACGTCCTGTCCGGGGTTGGGGAAGAGACCCATCATGCTAAAGGCGACAAAGGAGCCCATGGCGCCGCTGTCGTCGTTGCCGGGCAGACCGGGCGGCGTCGGCTGGAAGAAGCGCGGAATGTAAAAGTGGCTGCGCTTGGCGGACAGGGCGGGACGGCCGGCGTAGTGGTACTGGAACACGGTGAGAAAGGCAGGCTCATTGCCGATATACGTGATGCCCTTGTCGTGCAGGTAGTCGAGGCGGCGGCAAAAGGCCTCCGGACCTCCGTAGAGGGTGATGAGGCGCGCCTGGTCGTGAGGAACGAAACTGAAGCCGAGGTTAGCACTTGTCACTTGTTAGTTGTGGACAGCAGTGTGCTACTTACAACCCGTATTCCCAGATGCTGCTCTCAAAGGTCTCGGGACCGCTGTTCTGGAGCGAGCACACGCTCTTGTCGTCCAAGTTGCTGCACTTGAGCGGGTCCTGATATCCCCAGGTCTGGTTGAGGTACTTTGGCTGGAAGAAGCCCGTGTAGCCCGTGTCGGTACCGTTGGCAAAGGCCGACTTCTGATCCGCGCGGTACAGGTTCTCCCAGTGGCGGCTGGACTTGATGTACGTTTCCTGCTCGTCCTTGTTGCCCATGCCGCCGGCCATCTGCGAAATGGCAAAGTCATTGTACGCATACTCGAGCGTGCGGCTCAGACTGCGCGTAAGGGTGCCGAAGCCCTTGTAGTCGAAATCCTGCACGGGGATGTAGCCGAGTGAGTTCCACGCGTCGATGCCGCCGCGGCCGTGGCAGCACCAGTCAAAGGGCTCGACCTCGGCGTCCTTCTTGACGGCCGCGTAGCCCTTGTCCCAGTCGACGCCGTCCTTGATGCCCTTGAGGTAGGCGTCGGCCAGCACATTGTCGGCGTTGGAGCCGCCCTGGGTGTAGCCGCGGCTGAGGCTCATGCGGCAGTCGGGCAGCCAGCCGTCGTGCTCATAGGTGGAGATGAGGGAGCGGATCATTTGCGACACGGCGGCCGGGTCGAGGATGGTGAGGAAGGGCAGCTGCGAGCGGAAGAGGTCCCAGATGCAATAAAACGAGTCAAAGTACGGCTCACCGTCATTCCACAGCGGGTTTTCGCCCGTGTAGTTTTGCGGGTTGACCATGGTGCGGTAGATGCCCGAGTAAAAGTTCTTGATGAGCGATGCGTCCACGCCTTCCGTCACGACCTGGATGTTGCTCATCTTGGCCTTCCACGCGTCTCTGGCGTCCTGCGCATGCATATCAAAGTCGAAGTCGGGCACCTCCTGCTCGGCACTGGCACAAGCCTGGTCCTCGCTGATGAGACTAACGCCCACGCGCGCATACACGGGGCTGTGGCCGTCGGCGAAGCGCACAAAGGCGCCACCGGGCAGGGGGTAACCGTTGATGGAGCGTGAGATTTTGAGGTCGTGGACGTCTGCGCTCGCGCGGCTGTCGACAAAGATGCCCGCATCCGCAATCGCGGGCCCCTTGAAGTCGGTGCAAAAGTAGGCCCGGTACGTGCCCTGCGAGAAGCTCGACACGAAAAGGGCATTGCCCTTGATGCGGCCCGACGTGGTGTCCACGGCGACGCTGGCATTGTCCTGGCGCGAGTTGGACAGGTCCGTCAGGTCCTGCAGGATGAGCGGCTTGTCGCCGTCCTTGCCGGTAAAGGTAAACTTGAAGAGCGCGGCGTGATGGGTGGCTGTCATTTCTACCTGGGGGCCATCGGCGAGGGTGATGCTAAAGTAGCCTGGCTTGGCGACGACGCTGTCATTCTTGAACGTGCCGTGCTGCGCGCGCGTCTTCTTGGGGAAGTCGCAGCGGTTCACGTCATTGTCGGCGCACGCGTTGTAGGGGAAGAGCGGGAAGTTGCCCAGGGATGGCGAGCCGCCGGTGCCCGAGTCGTGCAGGACGCTGAAGCCGGTGACGGGGGTGCCGTCGAGGGTGAAGCCGCCCTGGTTGCTGCCGCTGGTAGTGTCGGCGACGGCCTTGGCCATGCCGTACGGCACGGTGGCGCCGGGGAAGACGTTTCCGCCATTGCTGGAGCCGATGAGCTGGTCGACATAGTCGATTGGGTCGATGTTCTTGTCGCGAGATGTCAGCGCCGCCGCCGCGCGCGCGGCGACCACTGGGAGACAGAGGGCCAGGAGCTTGAGTGCAGGCGCCATAGCTTCGATCGTCTTAGGGGATCGAGAATAGACAAGGAAAACCTGGAAAAGAGCGAGCAGAAGCACGGGGGTGCGCCCGACTCATATGTGCTCTGGACCAGGACCAGCCATTGCGCTCTCACTATAGCGGTACCAGGCGCAGAGAGCAGCCCATACTTTCTCTAGATGGCCCTGTGAAGCATGTCTCATCGGCGGCGAGATTTCGCGTGCTCTACGCGCACGGAGCAGGGTCGCACTACGGATCCTGCTGTCGATCATGATGGCTCGCACGCGACGTGGGAATACTACCCCGGATGGTGAGGAATGTGTCACCGGCTCCATCACGTGGAATGCTCGCCATGGTCACGGTACCCAGCCTGTTGTCTGACGTGAATGCTGCGGGTAGATGGCCGAGATGTAGATTCCTTTCAAATTGGCACTGAGCGATGTCATCTTTCTGAGGGAGGAGCGAGGAAGAAGAACAAAAACTCGGTACTAGCTGCATAAATGCGGCCACTCCCGGCCTAATTAAACTTGCGCCCGTTGTGCATGTTGGATGCGCCCTCATTTCCAAACGACAGCGCCCGTCACGCGTCGAGGTGGGAGATTCGGCTACCTGCTCAGGGGTTGTATTGCGATCGTAGGGCCTTGAAGATGGAGATGATAGATGTTCTGGTGTTGCTTGGGTACCAGTATTATGTGTTGTTTGTTGAGTATGGGAATTTTAAGCCTCCATTCCCATTGTCAGGGTATGTGCCTGGATAGAGTGGGTCCATTCTGGCCCTCAACCAATCAGAGGTCTCAGTTCTGTTGCTTGCGCAGGCGGATGACTTCCAACAGACAGGAATAGAAGAAGATGCGTCGAATTTTCATCGTGTCGAATATATGTGCAAGATGTTTCTCTTTCCGGAAGGAGGAACAAGTGTTGACGCTAGTACTGGCTCTGTGGTGGGTGCATAGGTGCTCTCCTGACCCTCTTGGAGATAGAATCGAAGGATCAATAAACCTGCCGATTCAAAAAGGTCAACTGCCGGCGTCAAGAGTAGAGAAGTAAACTTGACCCAATTTTTCATGCGGCCAAGCTTCCAAAATATCGAAAAATGTATGGTGGATCAATGCAGCGACCATGACGGAGCACAGATGATGGCAAACCAATATAGGGTACGTATGGCCTTTGTCTCACGGCATTTCCTGACCTGCAGTGTGCCCTGCAAACAACCTCGTGGCCAGTATAGAGGCCTTGGCAAAAGACAGTTCTTTACCAGAATCGCTTGCCGGCGCATCTCGGGTGGCTGCGGTTGATGTACCAAGTCTCTTGGCATGGGGCGGGAGATGGTGGGCATTAAGCTGGACGCCAAGAAGTGTCAATAGGCCATCTACTGATATGTACAACACTCTTGTGCTTTACCAAGGGCCGCCTGTATAACCACATGGTATATAATTTACCAAAAAGGCAGCATCATCTTTAGATGGCAACAGCGAAACACTGGGGAGGCCACGACGGAGTTTACCTCGACTCGTCCGAAACACTCCACTTCGCCCCAGTACCAGTTCAGTTCAGTTTATTACCAAACCCGGCTGATGCCAGAGATCCGACCTCTCCGTAACTTTAGTTTTGTGGATTGCGGGGGAGGTTGTGTGTGTTCCCGGTTCCCCCGCATTCGTCCCCCTACGTCGTCGTCATCCATCCTCTCTCGACCGGAACTGACTCTACTTCCCGCAGTTGTTACCCGGTAAAGACGTTGTCAAACAGAACTATACTAAGCGCCACGTTTTATTGTCGTCCAATGGCTTGGAGAAGCAACGATGACAGGCCGACTTGAAAAGCCTCGTGGCCGGTGCGCAAGCCATGTTTCGGGGCAAGACTAGAAAAAGATGAGATTAATTCCCATTTCCGACGACCGGGGAAACCCCCCGCATAGAGCCTCGGCCGAGAGAAAGTGATGCTGCTTCGTTATTGGTCTAGACACTCTTCTCTGGTTTTGCGAACACTCCTTCCGTCCTCCACATCATGGTTCCGGCTCAGACGGCGATCCCAAGCTACTTACCCCAGAAACTGCATCGCCTCACTTCTGAGCCTGTTTTAACCTTTTCCAAGTGACCTCCACTTCCACTCCATGTCCGGGGTTTGTCCCATTCGCAATATTGAATCCAGACTTCGCGGTCGGGTTGCGGGTTGTCCGCGCCCCCGTCAGTGAAGGAGAAAACAAGAGTCGACAACAGCCGCTATCCAACAAACTATTGGTAATGGGGTGTGGATTCACCTCCTCCGCACCACGCAAATCGTGGAAACTGGCTTTCGAACCGGCACATAATTGCCTTGCCGCTATTCCCTTTCCTGCGTGCTTTTGCGAAAGCTCCCCCAACAGTTCGGGTGTACGGGGGAAACCAACCCCGTCCGGGAAGCGGAATAGCTCGAGTCGAGACAAGATAAATGTTCGCGGCTGCCCCCTCAAAACATTGCAACGACCCTTTGTAGCAGCGCCGCCACCATACCAGCCCATTCTCTTCCGTCAAGAACTCACAGAGAGGTTTTGCCAGCAGCCATGTCCTCCTCCTCCGATCTCAATCGTCTCCATACCCATGACTGTAAGTGCCGTGTCTGCCGTCGTCGGGCCTAGCAGTACCTGGCACTGACGCTGTTGTGCCGTTTGCAGTAGAACTTGGCGTAAGCGAAGCCATCGCGCGACACGTCTCCCGACATGTCGTCCAGCCCAAGCCCGTCTCACAGCGGCGCCTCGACTTTGAGCGCGCGCGCCCCCGCTGGGTGCGCGAGTGCCTGGCCGAGGCCACGGGCGTCTTCTTCTACGTCTTCCCGGGCATCGCCGCCGTGGCCAGCTTCACGCTCAACCTCGAGAGTCCCGTCGGCGTGGCCGCGTTTGGCAGCCTGTTCCAGATTGGCTGGGCGTTTGGCTTCGGCATCGCGCTGGCCATCATCTGCTGCGCGCCGACGTCGGGCGGCCACTTCAACCCGTGCATCACCATCGCGCTCTGGTTCTGGCAGGGGTTCCCGCTCAAAAAGGTGCCGCAGTACATTGTCAGCCAGATATTCGGCGCCTTTATCGCGGGGTTGATCGTCATGGGCATGTACTGGCCGCAGATTTCCGCGATGAAGGCAGAGTTCATCGCTGCCGGCAAGCCGCTGGTTGCGAATGGCGCGCCTGCTAGTATCCTGTGTTCGTTTCCGAATGCGAACCAGACGAATCTGGGCTTCCTGTTCATGACCGAGTTCTTTGTCGACGCCTTCCTGGCTCTCGTCATCTGGGCCTGCATCGACCCTGCCAACCCGTTCATCGCGCCGGCGAGCGCGCCGTTTGTCATTGGCGTTGCGTATGCCGCCATGGTCTGGGGTTTCGCCGACATCACCATTAGCACCAACATGGCCCGTGATCTGGGCACGCGCATCGTCGCCGCCATCTTCTTCGGCAAGGAGGCATTTACGTACATGACGTACTCGCCCATCAGCATCCTCGTCAGCATCCCCGCGACGCTGCTGGCCACGGGGTACTATGAGTTTTTGATGCGTGACAGCCTGGATCGGATTCACAAGGGACATGCCAAGTTCGAGTCGGGTAACGAGGGGCTGATGCGGCACCTGAGCAGGAACACGGCGGCGGCTGTGGACGACAGTGATACCTCAAAGTACATGGAGCACAGCAGGCAATAGCGATAACCATGAGCAGGCTGAGATAATGGGGTCCAGACCAATGCAGAAAGTACATGCAAAGCCGAGATGTAGCGAGAAAATAGACTCAACATTTTTGTCCACTGGCCGGCGTGCGACACCGCACTTACTTGTCCAATGTAGCATCGATAAATCCGGGGCAAGCAGAGTCACCAAAAATAAGTCGAGAATTTTTCTAAACATCCTGGCGGATTTCTCTGACCAAAGCGCGCAGTACGCCGTCAATGGCAAGGCGCTGCGCAAAGTCGACTTTGTGCCAATCTCGGCCAACGCATGACAAAGGCCATCTGTTCTTCTGGTTCTACCCCACTGTACAAACATGCCAGGACAAAGAAAATTGTCATCTGGCCCAAAGATGCGTCATCCCTACACCGATGTTGATGTTGATGACCGAATTCTACGGGCTGGCGCGCCCTGCGAGGTCCGCGTCCTCGGGACCGTGTACAAGGGAGCGTAGCCCTGTGAGGTCCGGCGTCCTCGGGGCCGTGGACAAGGAAGCGCGGGCGCTCACCCTGGTCACCACGTAGCTCTGTGGTCCTGGCTGCCCGGCAGGCTCGGCTTTTGGCGCGCTGAGAAGCTGCTGGAGCCCGGATTGGGAGCCTAGGCGGGGTGCTGAAGTGTATGGATGGTCACAACAAACTGTGCGGATTCGAAGTCCCTGGCTACGAGGCTTGAGGAGGCAGGCGGGAGAAGATGTGTAAATATTTGCAGCATGCACATGCAGGGTCCTGTGGCTGTAGAAAAAAAAGGGTGTCCTACCAATCCGGCTTCTGAAAAGGGCAGGCGACTCGTTCTTTGAGCTATTATAGTGGCTCGTCGTATGGCACCCTTCGCAGCTGTGACGTGGCGTGCCGTTCTGTCGTCTGAATAAACATTTCACCATGCTCATCCTGTTCTGCGACGCTGCGGACAGCCATTTCATGGACGGCTTCTGTAGCTTGCGGGAGCGGGCGCTGTGCGATCCGTTGCATGACACATGCCGCAGCCTACACGTCATGGCCGTCTATCTACATACGAGCTGCTTCTATGCAATGTCTTGGCAACAGCAGCGACCGGCGGGACCTCGTCTAAAGCGCGACGGCTAACAGATGCGAACAAGTTGAATCGTGCCGTCGACGGAATATCCAAATATCCCCAGCCGGGCCGCACAAGTTGGCTTTGCGGAGATGATGAGGCGGAGAATGCTTGTTCTTTTTTATTGTGGCGACACGTGGGTTCATCCCCTTGACCGTTTAATATGGCATGTTAGTATAGCGCTGGAGTGTTTCATCGGATCATGCATGCGGATGCGGACTTGACGCATCTCGGGGTCGGTCGAAGATGGCGACGCCCCATTGTCCGACTCGAGTGGCGTCGTCTCACATGCACAACATGGCAGGATATCTGATTGCAACCGCACCGTCTTTTGTTGCTGCCTAGGCAGTTCGTCGATCCCCGGAGTTTTCGCTATTACTAAAACGACAGAGAAAACTCCGATGCAGCCCACTTGGCTGACTTTAGCGTCGTGTTGTCGTCCAGGGAAGCTAGATGTGTTGACTAAATTAATGAATACATTATTGGAGCGTCACTGATTCGCTGGCAGTACGGCAGAAACACGCCAAGCCCACTGTAGATGGTTGATGAACATCCGGTTTCGCCAAGCAACAGGGCTGGCTGATATGCGGCGCGGAGCATCTTACTTCGCCGCTCGCCTCGACTTTGTATTTTCGCTGACTGAGTACCTAGTAGAGACCATCTGCTAAGACGAGCATAGCCGAGCAGTTTCTACACATGAAAAACGGACTTCTGTAGACGGTATCCTCGGGGCTACATGTGTCTTGAAGGGTCATGTTGGCGGGCTGTGTTGATGTCGTTTTGCAATGCGCAACCTGTTAGTGGATGGCTCAACAGTTTAGTGGACAGCTCAACTTGCGGAGTAGTTACGGATACTTGGAGGACAAAGCCTCCTCTTGGCGGCACCAATCTGCGGAACAGGATGAGAAGAGCGGCTTCCACGCATCTGCCTCGTCTAGGGCATCTCAAGCCGTACTCACTCCAATACTTTAGTTGGTTGATCAAGTTTGTCAAAAAGTACATTCATCGGACCGCCGCCCAATCACAGCGACGGGGCAAGTGGCCGCAGGTGGCTCCGGAGCGGGAGACGTCCCCCTCCCGGCTGAAGCTGAGCCCTCCGTAGCGCTCCCCTTCCCCAATATTTTTATTTTGTCCGGATTGTAGTTGGCCATGATTTTTCGAAATGACGCTCGGGCGACGCAAACGGGTACGGCCTTGAAGAGATTCCCCGCCCCCTGCGCCAACGTGTCGTGTCGCAAGCCTCGCAACTTCCTACGCAAGTGCCAAGTAGGGGGGGGGGGGGGAGCAGCACTGCTATTAGTGCCAGTGCTTGGTTTGTTCTTCGGTCCCATATGACATGATATGCGCAGCTTTTTTACGGAGTAGTCTACTCGTATATATAGACCTCTCTGGTAACCCTCCTTTACCTTACCCGTCCTTTGGTTTTTTTTAGAGGAACCCCAAAATCGACAATACACCAAGAATAAAAAAAGACGTCATGGCGGTACTCTCCGTCATTTCCCTCCCTGCGCTGCTGGTCTCGCTGGCCGTGGCCTTTACCCTCATCCGGCTCATCGAGCACATCCGGTTCCGCAGCAAAAAGGCGCGGCTGGGCTGCCAGTCGGCCGTGTCGGGCTTTGGCGGCGACCGCGCCGGGCTGCATCTCATGCGCGCCGGCCTCAAGGCACAGCGGGAGAAGAAGGTGCCCGACTGGATGCGTGCCGAGTTTGCGCGGCTGTCGGCCCGCGAGGGGCGTCCGGTCGGCACCTTTGAGATGAGCGCGCCGCTCTTCCGCCGCGTGCTCTTCACCGCCGAGCCCGAGAACATCAAGGCCATCCTGGCGACGAGCTTCAAGGACTTTAGCCTCGGCGACAACCGCATCGGCAACTTTAAGCCGCTCCTCGGCGACGGTATTGTATGTGTTTTTTTTTTACAGACGTGCCCAACCATGTGGTGGGAGAGGAGGGAGAACACCCTGGCTAACATGTGGAACCTTCTTTCTAGTTTGCTTCGGATGGCAAGAAATGGGAGCACTCGCGCGCCATGCTGCGGCCGCAGTTTGTCCGCAGCCAGGTCAGCGACATCACGCTCGAGGAGACGCACGTGCAGAACCTACTCTCGGTGCTCGACGCCCAGCGCGACCCAGCCACCGGGTGGTCGTCGGCCGTGGACCTCTCGCCGCTCTTCTTCCGCCTCACGCTCGACTCGGCGACCGAGTTCCTCTTTGGCGAGAGCGTCAACAGCCAGCTGAGGCGCGAGGGCGAGGCGACGACCGACGCCGCCGCCTTTGCCACGTCGTTTGACGCCTCGCAGAACCAGCTCGCCGTCGCCGGCCGCTACGGTAACAACTACTGGCTCGGCCACACGCGCGCCTTTCGCAGCGACGTGCGCGTCTGCCACGAGTTCATCGACTACTTTGTGCAAAAGGCCATTGCGGGCCGCCGCGGCGCCGGCGACAAGGCCGAGGACGCCGAGCGATACGTCTTCTTGGAGGCCATTGCGCGCGAGACGGAGGACCCCGTCGAGCTGCGCTCCCAGCTCATCAACATCCTCCTCGCCGGCCGCGACACCACCGCCTCGACGCTCGGCTGGTTCTTCTACACCCTCGGCCAGCCGCGCTACCAGGCCATCTACAACCGCCTGCGCGGCACCATCCTGGACGAGTTTGGCACGTACCGCGACCCCAAGCCCATCACCTTTGAAGGCCTCAAGAACTCGACGTACCTGCAGTGGTGCGTCAACGAGGTGCTCCGCCTGTATCCCATTGTGCCCATGAATGGCCGCTCCGCCGTCAGGGACACGGTGCTGCCTCTGGGCGGCGGGCGCGACGGACGCTCACCGATCCTGGTCAAAAAGGGCCAAGACGTTGGCTACTCGGTATGTTCCCGTCCCATCTCTCTGCCTCCCCCTTTTTACTATTTATACTAACACCCGCGCAAGGTCCATGTAATGCACCACCGCACCGACCTCTGGGGCGACGACGCCGACGAGTTCCGCCCTGAGCGGTGGGAGAAGCGCAAGCCCGGCTGGGACTACCTGCCGTTCAACGGCGGCCCGCGCATCTGCATCGGCCAGCAGTTTGCGCTGACGGAGATCACCTACGTCGTGGTGCGGTTGCTGCAGCGCTTTGATGCCCTGGACGGGTCGGCGCTGCCGGCTGAGTCCCACGGCTTGGGCCTGACAAACTGCCCGGGCGAAGGCGTGCCTTTGAAGCTGCACTTTGCCGAGTAAAGCAAGAGGCGGCAGCAAACGAACCAACAAAGACTATTTACGAAACAAGAAGAAAAAAAACACGAAGAGACAGTAAGCTCACGCTTACAGGTTCTTGGGATGACCTTGTACGATTGACGGACCCTGTTGGTCCGGGGTGGGATACTCTTGCATAGACGGAACCAGCAATTTTTTTGGGGCGGGGATTTGGATGCGCCTCAACTCTTTTTATTTACGGCTCAACTCTTTTTACCTGCGGCTCAACTGTCCACTAATTTGAGACAGGTTTGAGCATGCCACGAATTTGAATGAAACTCATTACTGCGTACTCTGGTTATGGTTACGGTCTTGAACGCTACGACTGACATTGCACAAAAAATCACTGTAACGGGCCGTGCTGTTTGACGCCACTAAATTAAGCCTGTGAAAGGGTTTCAGGGAACTTTTGAGATGTCGCGCATGTGGCGTCTGTGTCTGCGCCCGCAAGTGCTTTGCAGTGTGACCGTGTCCCCATTTACCGTCGGCACACGGCAGCGGCGTCCCGAGTATGTGCTGTGGAGGGTCTCATGGAATGAAGACGGTCGCATCGATATTTCGGAACAGAAAGGTGACCAAGCCCACATATGGCTTTCGACTTCCGAGCTGCATACGGCTTACTTACTCCCACCCACAGCAACTGGATTCACGCCCCGGCACACCGAACTAGGTCTTACAAGATCCTGTGCAAGTGCCAAGAAAGATGCTTTGGAGATCTGGCGGGATCTCACCGTCTTAGAAGGGCTGCTTGAAAAGGTGTTGATGGTAGCGTGGCACGCAATGATGGAAGAAGAACTTGAAATATAGCTTGGCGCATGAGACTAGTAAAACGAGAACAACTTATTATAGCGGCAAGTGGAGAATAGAACATTGGTAAAAAATGGCGCTTGGGCCATGGATGAGAGATGTATCGAGAGGCGTGATCTTATTAGGGCGGTATCGGGGGCAACGATGACAGAGGGGCAGGTGGCTGAGGGGTCTAAGGTATGAAGTCGAGCCTGGAATTATTTCGCCATGGCTGTAGTCCGTAGTACAAGAGGCACTATCGATTTCAAGTTGATAGAAAGATGGGTGAAATCCGCGAGCGCAAAGGATGTTGGTCAACCGTTATACATGCAATTCGTCGGTAGAGCAAGGGTACGCCGTATGCGCACTGTAACGACCGTGGACGCATGTTTGGGGCGAAATTCTGGGCTTCGATCTTACCAATCTACCACCTCGACATGTTCTGGCTCATAGCGCGACATGTGTAAGCGTCGAGGCGAATAGAGGTAACGTCCGGAAGAGAGAAGCCGAGATATAGCGGGCATATCCGTAGTAAGCTGAGTGCTGACCGGCGGGTGGCGGATGCGGCTCAGTTTGACACTGGCAAGACATGGGCCGGCCTGGATATAGTGTCAGCAGAGAAGAACAAAGGACTGCAGCAGGGTTGGGCATAAAATGCGATGACGAGGATCATTTATGGCCCGGCGGTAAGAATAGAGTGATAGAAGGAGGTCAAACGAAGCAGTGGAGGAGACGAAGCGATAGAGTTTCGGTAGCCCGGATTGGAGCAAGTGTGCGTTCAGATGCAGCAAATGAGAGAAGAGGAGGATACGGCATGCGGAAATATATAGACATTGTGATTGGCAAATATGGAGGGAGTCATTGGACAGCCTGGTGGTGAGAACCGGTTGGCTAGCGAGATGCTATGCTACGTATGCCGCGTGCAAGGCTGATTCAGTTGAAACGACAAGAAAGTTGGAAAACAAAAAGAGGACTGGGTATGAACATGAAAACGGCAAACCTCGGTCGAGTGCATGTACTGGTAAGTGATCGTTTCGTGGACGGATAAATACGTGTGTTTGGTGGCTGAGCGGCAAGTCGGCACCGGCGTGAGGTGCCTGTTTTGGAAAGCAGTATGTTGGTATATCCGTGGTAGCGCCCGCAGACAGTCGACTAGCGAGAGCCGCTGGAATAGTGCTGCGCCACTCATGGCTCATGCCGAGACGAGACAGCGCGAACGGACAGAGCAAACACTGCACAAATGCGAATCACAATATTCGTATAGTCGTATGTACCATGCTTCATCATCAGTGACTAATTCGTACTTGACTTGCCTCGGGGCTTGTTGTAGCGTCCGGTTCTGTGGAATGGCGAGCTATCTACCTAGGTACAGCGGGTTCCCGTAGTCTTCGGGCGGCAACAACCACTCTTTCAGGGCATTTATTATAGGCAGCTTCCCGGCAATAAGACAAGTCTTGCTTTCCCGTGCACTGCCCTCGTCCTCCATCATCATCACCACCCATCGCCATCGCCCAGCATCAATTATACCCAAGACGGGTTTCCTTTCATCGACGAAACCCGACTTTCCGTCCACTTGCGCCTCCTCCCACTTCCTTCCCCCCCTATTCGGCCCTGCCCAGCCCAGCCTGCTCATGCGGCCGCAGATCGCCAATCTTTTCGTTTGTCCCACACCCCCCTCCCTCGTTCTTCCAACTTTGACGCCAGTCGTCTTTCCTCAGTCGACATTGCGTTGGTCGTTTTGGGGGTAAGTATTACCATGTGAGTTTGATGACTTGATGCCAATAAATGGAAATTAATAAAGCCTCTGGGACTAACGTTAGCTGCCGCCACGTCGAGATTAGTGCGTACGCCCTCTCCCAATCCCGCATCCACATCCCCACGCCGGCACTCGAGCACTACTGACTCTCCTGAGTCGGCCAACAAGGGTCCATGGCTGAGGCTGCCCAATCGTGTTTGGGGGCGTACAGCCACGACGCACACTCCTCATGCAGCCACGCTCGACACACTGACACACTGAGTATCAACTCAGTGGTTACGGAGTAATAGAGGCTTCACCTTTTGCCTCGACCGCCGTCTTTCGCATTTTCCGCACAACGACAACCTCCACTACCTCCTACTGCACCTATGCCGGCTCCGCTGTTGTTGCTACCCATTTAGCTATACAATAGTGCATATATAGAACCGGGCCTGCCCTGTCACTTCAGACATGTAAGATTGCGCTTGCTTGGCTAGACTCGGCTTTGGCTTCTTTTCCCCTCGTCCTGTCCTGCCTCGACTTTTTTTCTCCTCCATCGACACTTTACCTTTACCTCGACACACATCGCCGCACGGAACCCATCATCGCAACTGCACAGAGTCCACCATCACAAACCGCGCAGCGCATCTCGCTGCCCCTCGCCCGCAATGGCTTCCAACGAATCGAGCGACTACGCCGACAAGCACAACTCACCTGTCGTCGCTGACTTCGAAACCACGCGCCACACGTCCAACACCAGCTCCGTCGACGTCGATGAGCATAGCCACCTCACCCTCTTTCAAGCCATTAAGAAGTGGAAACGCGTCTTTTGGTACTCGCTCGCCATCTCCTCCACCATTCTCATGTTTGGCTACGACTACGTTATTGTCGGCAACTCGTCTTCCATGCCCGCTTTCCAGTACGTCTATTTTAGCTGCCCAAAGTCGAAACCCCAACCGACCAACAAATTGACCTCCCTAGGCACGATTTCGGCCAATACTACGAGGAACACTGGATTATCCCATCACTATGGCTTGGTCTCTGGACTTTCATCTCCCCCGGTGGTATGATGATTGGCTCTCTGTTTGTTGGCTACTTTCAGGACTGGTCCGGTCGCAAGGCCTCCTTCTTTGTCTCTTCCATTCTCGCCGCCGTCGCCGTCGCCGTCTGCTTCTGCTCTCAGTATCCCCACGAAATCGGCCACCGCCGCGGCACCTTTCTCGCCGGCAAAGGCGTCCAGGGTATCGCCCTCGGTATGATGATGACCACTTGCCAGACCTACCTCTCCGAGATTGCTCCTCCGAAGCTTCGCGGCCCGCTCCTCGCCTTCTTCCCCATCTTCACCCTCGTCGGCCAGCTCATCGGCGCCCTCGTCATTTACGGTCTTGTCTCCTCCCCCAACGGCTACGCCATCGCCTTTGCCACCCAGTGGATCTTTGCTGCCATTGCCTTGGCCGTCTCCTTCATCATCCCGGAGAGCCCCATCTACCTCATCCGCAAGGGCCAGATCGAAAAGGCCCGCGCGGCGCAGCGCAGACTCGCGGGTGAGGGAAGCGATCCTGACCGCATCCTTGCCATTCTGGAGCGTGACATTGAGCACGAAACCCGCCAGACTCCCGCCACCATGGCCGCTTGCTTCTCCAAGATTCAACGCCGTCGAACCATGGTTGTTCTCTTTACCAGCGTCCTTCCCCAAGCGTTTGGCCTCACCCTTCTCTCCCAAGCCAGCTACTTTGGCCAGGTTGTTGGCATCGAAGCCAAGATCAGCTTGGTCCTCCTCATTGCTGGAGTCCTCACCGGCTGCATTGCCAACATCATTAGCATGTGGTCTATGAGCCGCTTCGGCCACCGCACTCTCTCCCTCACTGGCCTCGTCGTTTGCGGCTTTCTCTGGCTAAGTATGGGCATCGCTGGCAGTATCGCCCACAACATGGCTGTTGCCTGGTTCTGCTCCGCCGTACTCATCCTCGTCACCGCCTTTGGTGGTCTCACCGTCTGGCCCGCCTCGTACACTATTGGTTCCGAAGTCTCGACACTGCATCTCCGTGCCAAGGCCCAGGGCGCCGGTTGGTTGTTTTCCAGCGCCTTCAGCGCCGGATTCGGTCTCGGCCTGCCCTACATTTACAACCCCGACGCCGGCAACCTGCGCGCCATGGTTGGTTATATCTTTGCCGCTTTTTGCTTCATCAGCCTCATGGTTACCTGGCTGTACGTCCCCGAGATGAAGGGCCGCACTGCGTCCGAGATTGACCGCATGTTTGACCTCGGCCTGAAGACGAGGGAATTCAAACATTGGCGTGCCGATAGTGGCCTCGAACCCAAAGGGTACACGACCTCGAGAGCAGTCTAACCCATTCTGCTTTTACATGATTCATGACTTTAGCGACTTGCATTTCTACACAAACATTTACCGTATATACCAATTGATTTCAAATATTGAACCGAGTCGTGTGGCACAACGGTACCAACAGTTTACAACATTGCCCTGAATCTCGTGTGACAGGAATGTACCAATGATTTACAATAGTTTCCCGAATCTCATATAACCATCCAATACTTGTACTTTACAACATTCCCGGGAGTATTGTGCGATCATTACCAAGTCCGAAGTTTTGGGGAGCGAAAAACAAAAGCCTAGTGCTATTGGCACGAGAGCTTTTTACCAAGGGCATACATAAGCCTCACGGAGCAGAACACGTCTTCTAGCGTGGCCTCACGACCGCCGCGAAGCACAGTGATAGACGAGCCTGTATTGTTTCTTTCAATCTATTGTCCTACTTGTTCCAGGATTTCAGGCTCGGTGGCCTCCGCTGAAAGGATCATTTCTCATTCTTCGGGCCCGTCGAGGTGAAAGTAGGGGTGCTCAAGCAACTCTTTAGCTGTGGGCCGCCTTGCTGGATCATAGACGAAAATGGTTAACAAGAGGTCGTAGAGAAGAGCCGCTTCGCGGTCAGGTATCTTCGGCAGTAATGCTAGCAGCGTGTCCCACCTGTCGTTATAGCCACTCAGATAACCAACATCGTCTACTCTGATGGCCCTTGGGTTCCACGCCATCTTGGACCAGCTAGAGTGAAAAGGTTGGTGCCTATCCTCAAGGTATACTTTTTGCTCCTCAGGAGAACCGGTGTGGATAGCACGACCGTTCGGCTCATCCCATATCTTGTACACAAGGTCTCGCAGGGGCCGTCTGTCGTCTGCATGCGGCTCGCGAAGCGGTTTTCCCTTGGAAGCATCTTTCGTAGGCATACCCCTAGAGTCCCATAAGGTATCCTTACACGTGTGCGGCACATCTCCCCCTAGAGTATCGAGAACGAAGCCCACGAGATCACATGGACAAGTAACTTCAAACGGGCTTGAGAAAGGGCCATCCCCGGCCCGAAGGCGAAATATGCAGCATCCGAGTGCCCAAACGTCACTTGCAGGACCAGCTTCCAAGCCCATGGCAACTTCGGGTGCGAGAAAGTCGACTGGCGTACCCAACATTTTGCTGGGCGGCGAGGAGATGGGGAAGCACTGGTCAAAGTCCATAAGTTTAATGTCCAGTTCGAGGATATCCGAGGGAGCAGATAGGAAATCGATATTCCTGACAATATATCGTGGCGCCTCAGGACCGGGCATTTCACCATTCTCGGTCTCCAGCACTCCGGTCACTGGCTTACCAAACAAGGCGTAGATGTCGTCTTCCTCGTAGTGGTCGATGTCTACCATGCCAAGGAGAAGGTTGCCTGTAGTTACATCTAGTGCTCTATTAGCTTCTCGGCCGAAATTGAAGAACAAATGCTTCGGGGGGGCGTAAACTTACCTCCATGACACAAGCCTTGCGAGTGTAGGTCGGCGACTGCTCTGACGGCTTGATAGGCGGTTTTTCGAGCCATCCACGGTGTGAGTCGGCAATTCCAGTGGTACGACAGTTCGGACATTGACGGGCCGAGAACGGGTAGAACAAGGCATAAATGATGACCATTTGGACCGTCAAAGGTAAATTGTCGACGATGCACCACCACACGCTGTTTTCCGTCAACGGGCAACATTGCATGGGTGAGAGAACTCTTCTCAGCAGTAGGGACAGAATGCCTAGCAGCAACAATCTTCAAGGCCACCCATTTCTTATCCTTTTCATCTCGCGCCAGCCAGACAGTAGAAAACCCGCCAGCACCGAGCTTGTGCACAATTCTGTAGCGCCCGTCATCAAACGTGTCACCCAAGTGAACAGGATGGAAACCGCCTGGCTCGTAATTCTCCACCTCTTCCGTGTCCCCAACGCCTTGGGGGAGAAGAAATCGGGGCATGGGGTACGATTCAAAGCTCGACTTGGTCGACATGTTGAACAAATGATGGAGCGATGAAACTGGCTTCGTAAATGGAATAAACAAGAAAGAAGGGTTTTGTGTTCACAGATGGGCAAGAGCGTTTGAGGAGCATTAAGACACGCTTTTTGCTAGACAGACTCACGTGATTTGATAAGAATGGGTTCTCACTGGATCCGTGATTTTCGGTGTGACTCACATGTAAATGGAGGTACCGAAAAGACGTATTCTTTAATTAATTGACTTGGGGTGACAAAAAAAGGGTTAGGATATTTGACGACCTCAATCCGCTAAATTGACGACCAACACGTGGCACACACCCAAATTCAGAGTTAAGGCTCCACATAGCAGCCATACCCGCCTTATTATTAAATCTATCTTTCTACTAAAGAAAGTAGTACTTATAAAAGTAGATAATATTCTAACAGAATATAGAGGAAAAAGCCTTATTTCTATTCTATCTTATAGTATTTTTTATTTCTTTTTGTCTTTTTTTAAGAGTTAGATATATAATTCTAAAAATGCTGTGTATAGTGCTGTAGATGTGTTGTTTTTTAGCGCTATTAGGCGTGGTTCTAGCCTCGTTAATTAGCGGATTGAGGTCGTCATCGTAGCCACTCTTCCAGTGCCTGGTCCATCTCATGCTTCTCTTTATAACCGCCTTGCAATTTGGCCACCACTGCTGTCGCCAGGTTCTCAGGCAGCCCAGTGTACTGGCGAGCATCGTCCTTCCATTGTCGCAGCATGGCGAATGTCTTGGGAGTGCGCTTCTTCATACACCAGTGAAGGTAGAACGACACCGCGGCGTCGTGGCTGTGTTCCGGGCGCACTCACTGGCCTTCCATGAACTCGGAGATGTCCGCGACTTCCTGTGATTCGCCGTGTATGATCCGCCACAGCGCCCAGACGTCGTCGCGGTCCTGGCAGTCCGCTGGACGTGGTCCCATGAACTGCGGGCAGTATGCCACGTATTCCACTCGGGAGTCCTGCCAGATAAATAAGATAAGAGGGATAGTAAAAATAAGGAAAATTAGAAAGAGAAAGAAGTAAATAAATAGTAAGAATAAGAAAGAGGTTATTAGTGTTCCTAACTGGCGGGTTAATTTGTCCCCCTGGTGCCTCGCCATTCGCATAATATCTCTCCGCTTTGCCAGTGTCCGCCGCCCACGGGTCGGCGTACCACCCATCTGAAAGGGCAGCTGCTTCCTGTTGCTCCCTCTGAAGACGTCGCCTCATGGGGCAGCTGCTAGGTGGCCCGCCAACAGCAACTAATGTGGTATATGGATAATTCTCGTCACGCTCATCACGAGCCATCACATAATCATGGCGTCCATAAGCGGATCGATGCTCAATGTAGATGCAATGTTGATGAACCACTGCACGTCCATTGATATTCCCAAACAGCTTGACCTTGAAATGAGCGTTTGCGTATTTTCCGCCGGTCATCGTCTTCGGAGTGCTCCATCTAAGCTCGAATTAGTCTCTCAATCCTGGTACATACAAGATCAGAACTTGGTGATATTCTCCCTCTTCGGCGATTTCCAGGGCAAGACGCTCCAGGGCGTCTAAGAGGCCATCGATTGGCGAGGGGCATTTCCAATCGAGAACAATAGGCATGTTAAAACACAGAGAAGGTTGAAAAGAAAGAAAAATTTGGTGAGAAGTGAGCAGTCGGATCAAGTCTGACACCGCCAGAAATGTAGTTTAATACGAACGATAAATGAAGGTGATGGGCAGAAGAATGGTTATTTATACCCAAGCGTACGCCTGGAGTCAATCACATTACTATACGCGTGAATACTGCCCGCTCTATGCCACCCAGAAATTCATGCCAACCTATCCAGCCCGTACCGATAATCGGGGCCACTTGGTACTCCGTAGCCCTGACAGTGGATGGTAGTACACGTGCCACACCAACTGTATGCTGTAAGGCTGTATGCATGTAGGGCGCTTAATGATTGGAGTTGATTGGCACAGCAAGTTAGTTCTAATGAAATTCGTAAGCAGCTTTTCTACTGGTAATATGACGTTTGATGGAATGCATAGATGACGGCCTGACCTGGACAGCGATGGAAGGTCAACTGAATCAACGAAACCGATGCCATCAGTTCGAAACTTATGGGTATGCACTTGTAAGGCACTGCCTGTAATAGGATCGCCTTTCGATTGGGTAAAGAAACGATGACGACAATTTTGGGCCGGGATTGGCTGACTATCTTTAGCTCAGCCTAGTGGCACAGCACCATCCAGACCACGAGAGCCAGTCGGTGTGAGGCGTCGTCCGACTTTCGTTGACAAACGGCCAATAGTTCCTCCCGATTTAGCGCCGATTTATCGGTTCTACGATGAATCACGCGGAAGCTTTGGTCCTGTGTAACGGTGTACATGCCAGGATGTGGTTGTGATGCGCAAAAGATCCCAGAAGGAATAGTGCAGGGGATAGGGCTGAATGAGGCAGTGGCCGCCGCCACGCCGGAGACAAGCCCAGAGAATACAATGAGTGTAATGCATGCAAGGATGGCGGTGAACTTGCGGGCGGGCAACCCATTGCCGCCCACGGTTCGAGCATGAGCAGGAATTTGTGGCTGCGTGGTTCGCGTAACCTGGAGAGTTGTGATGAACGGACGAGTTGTGTCGGTCGTTGGCTTGGATAAGTGGCACTTAATAAAGCTGACAGCCATGGCGCTGTCAATCGATGATGACGTTGGCATTTATCGATGCACTTGCCCGTTCTACATAGTCTCGAATTCGTTATCAATGAGGGGGTGGCTGATCGGGGGGCTTTCATGATGGCGCAGCGCGGTTAGGAGCCGCGATAAACCTAACAAGGTTATGTGGTTGTGGCTGGGCGCGGTCCGGGCTGCACTTAAAAAGTATCTCCCCCTCTCCCCCCAGACAATCCCCCAGTCGAGATGATACAACACGAATGCGTATGATTTGCGACGGGGTCGGGGGGCAAGGCGGGAGATTATTTTTGGCGGAGCATCTGCAAACCCCATGGGGGAGCGATGATGGGAACTGCGGGACGGGCGGGCGATGGGGAAATAAAGTTGCTGCAATGAGCAAGACACCACGCGACTAGAAGTTGTGTTGTTTTCTGCCCCGAAACAAAGTCTCGTCGATTTGTAGCGCCCTGAGTCGTGGTTCCGCCCAATGCGACAGTCCGAGCCTTTTCTACTAAGGTACTGCCAACGCAAGGTTTTTACAGGCCCCTGATAGCGCACTTTATTAGCTGCTGTAGGGCAAGCGCCGTTGTAGGCCCGGGAGCCCGCTGTATATGGCTGGCCGCTCCACTGTAAAAACCCCCCTGGGCTCCACAGATGCACGCTCAACTGCCTGCACCGCAGCCTGCAAGTCACGCTGTTTCTCCAACTTTTTTACCCTCGAGTCTGGACTCCATCTGACCCCATATCCCATATCGCCCCAATCTCCATTGTTTATAGCATGGCGCGGCCCTGCCCCAAGGGCTGAACGTCGAACTTGTTCTTCCCAATTGCTTCAGCTCATCGTCCACCGCATCTCTACACTGCTTTCCTTTCTTCAGCGCCCTTTTCCTTCAATATCCCATACTCATCTGCTGCGACAAGGTGTGCCCTCCGGCGACGTTGCCGCCGACCCGCGAACGAATCGACCCCAAACATCACCACCACCGAGTCCCACGACCGCATAGAGTCACCCACCATGGACGACCGACGCGCTTCCGCCACGCAGCAGGCCGACATGGCCCTCGCCACGCTCGGCTACAAGAGCGAGCTCCCGCGCAACCTCAAGATGCTGTCCGTGCTCGGGCTCTCGTTTGCCATCATGGCCGTGCCGTACGGGCTGTCGACGACCATGTCCTACTCGCTCGTCAACGGCCAGTCCGTCACCACGCTCTACGGCTGGTGCCTCGTCTCCGCCATCTCGCTCTGCATCGCCGCCTCGCTCGCCGAGATCTGCGCCGTCTACCCCACCGCCGGCGGCGTCTACTACTGGAGCGCCATGCTGTCCAGCCCCCGCTGGGCCCCCCTCGTCAGCTTCGTCGACGGCTGGCTCACCCTCGTCGGCAACTGGACCATTACCCTGTCCATCAACTTTGGCGGCGCCCAGCTCATCATCTCCGCCATTTACATGTTTGACCAAAACTACGTCATTCAGTCCTGGCACACCGTCCTCGTCTTTTGGGCCATCATGGTTGTCTGCGCCCTCATCAACGCCTTTGGCTCCCGCTACCTCGACCTCATCAACAAGGTGTGCATCTACTGGACCGGCGCCAGCGTCCTCATCATCCTTGTCACCCTCCTCACCATGGCCGACACCCGCAACTCGGGCCGCTACGTCTTTGCCCACTACGACAGCTCCGAGAGCGGCTGGCCCGCCGGCTGGTCCTTTTTCGTCGGTCTTCTCCAACGTATGTCTACTCCCCTCCCTTTCCCTCCTCCAATCACACACACCGCTAATCAAATTAGCTGCCTACGTCCTCACCGGCTACGGTATGGTCGCCTCCATGTGTGAAGAGGTCCAGAACCCCGAGCGTGAGGTCCCCAAAGCCATTGTCCTATCCGTCGCCGCAGCCGGCGTCACCGGCCTCTTCTACCTTGTGCCGCTCCTCTTCGTCATCCCCGAGGTCAGCGCCCTCCTCAAGGAAGCCAACGACCACGCCGGCGGCCAGCCCATTGGCATCATCTTCAAGCACGCCACTGGCTCCGCCGGCGGCGGCTTCGGACTCCTCTTCCTCATCCTCGGCATCCTCATGTTCGCCGGCATCGGCTCCCTCACCGCCGCCTCGCGCTGCACCTACGCCTTTGCCCGCGACGGCGCCATCCCCGGCTACAAGCTCTGGCGCCGCGTCCACTCCCGCCTCGACGTCCCCATCTGGGCCCTGGTTCTCTCCACCGCCGTCATCTCCCTCCTCGGCTGCATCTACTTTGGCTCCCCCGCCGCCTTCAACTCCTTCACCGGCGTCGGCACCATCTGCCTCTCCGCCTCGTACGCCGTCCCCGTCATTGTCAATCTCGCCCAGGGCCGCGTCGCCGTCAAGAACTCGCCCTACGCGCTCGGCCGCTGGGGCTACTTCCTCAACGGCGTCTGCGCCGTCTGGATCTTCTTTGCCATTGTCATCTTCTCCATGCCCAGCTCGCTACCAGTCCAGGCCGACACCATGAACTACGCCTCCGTCGTCTTTGCCGGCTTTGCTGCCATTGCTGGTCTCTGGTACTTGGTGCACGCCCGACACAACTTTACAGGCCCGCCGGTGTTGCGGAACGACTCAGTTGGCGCCACCCAAGGTGTTGCGCCTGCCGATTCAAATACCGAATCGCAAGACTACGAAAAGGAATCCAAGTAGCTGTTTTTTATACTCTATATAATTAGCCTGTTTATAACACCTGTGTATCACTTTTGCATACATGCGCTCATGACTCATTGCACGTTTTGAACCATCATTTCTTCGTTATAAACCTTCCCATCATGAGGCCTTGCCGACTATATACAAACAGGCTTTCCATTCGCTTAAATTTTTCCTCTCTCCCCTTGTCCATTCTATCCCAACATTAAACGCTAATGGTGCGGAAAATGGAAAACTCCTCGCCCGTCGCCACCAGGCTGCCCGGGATCTGCGGGTGCCAGTGCAGCTCCTTGACTCCCTTCAAGTAGTGCACAAACAGCAGCTGCGGCGGCACGTCCTTGACGCCCGCCGTATCCCTGCTCTCCTCGTCGTCCAGCTCCACGGCCAGATCCCACAGCGTGACCGTGTCGTCGGCGGCCGCGACGGCCACGATGGAGTCGTCCGTCGGGTGCCACTCGACGCTCGTCACCTGCTCCTTGTGAAAGTCAAAGCTGGCCAGCGGCTGCGGCTTGTCGTTGCCGCCGGCCTTCCACTGCCGCAGGTCCCACACGCCCCACGTGCCGTCGTCGGCGCCGGTGCTGAGCAGGTGCGACGTCTGCCGCGACCACGAGAGGACGTTGACGTCGTAGTTGGACACCTGGACTGTGAGCGCGGGCGCGCGCGTTTTCGAGCGCACGTCCCAGATGCGCACGCTGCCGTCGGCCGAGCACGACGCGAACACGGACTGCTCGCTCGGCGACCACTGCATGTCCTCGACGCTCGAGGTGTGCCCCGCAAACGGGCGGCTGTCAGTGACCCAGCCGCCGCCGTCGGTGCGCGTCGTCTGGTAGATGAGCCCGTCGTTGTCGCCCGTCAGCAGCTTGCCGAGGGGGTGGTGCGGCGACCAGTCGAGCGCGTAGCCCTCGGACTTGTGCGCGCGGATCGTCGACAGCGGCTTGTTCTGGGCGGGCGTGATGGTGGTGCCGGGCGTGTCGAACGAGGCGAGGTGCGGCGTCACGTCGTGGATGAAGACGTTGGTCGACTCGGTCATGGTGGCGGTGAGCGTGGTCGGCGCGCGGCCGGGCTCGGATGCGGGCACCTGGTGCGTGCGGATGCGGTTCGTCGTCGACGTCAGCGGGATGCTCTTGGACTCGAGGATGGGCTCGGCGTCCTCGTCGTCGTCGTCGGAATCCGAGTCCGCGCCGTCCTTGTTCATCCGGGAGAGGCCCGAGAACTTGATTACCAAGAGCTGGTTGTCGTTGCTCTTCTTGTAGTCGGCCTGTGTGCCGGTGACGGTGTACATGGTCGCCGGGTATGCCTTGCGGTTGTCGCCCAGGCCGTCGGGCACAATGTCAAACGACAGACACGGCCACGGCGTCGTCAGGTTGTGCAACATCTCGTACGTCGTCACGTCGGGCGTCAGCACCTGGCCGGGCTCCAGCTTGTGCCGGCCGACGATGAAGGTGCCCTGGTCGACGTCCATGGCCGCAGCTGCAAAAGGGTTAGCAGATGGTTGGGGGGGGGAAAGCCCGCAGAGAGGTGGGAATCGTACCCTCCTCGGCTTCGCGCTCGGCGTCTGGGCGGCCGTCGACGCCGGCTTCGATGATCTCGTCTTCGCTCTCGAATTCGTCTTCAAACTCGTCCTCGAAATCGCCCATTTCCTTGTCGTCAACGTCCATCTTTTCGGGCCGGTCGCCGCCTTTGAGGGGAGTTCCATCGTGGCCAATGTCCGCCGCGCGCTTCGACATGGTGCAAGTTGATACTGGATAAAACTGTATTTCTATGCAAATTAATGAAAGATTCCAAACAGCGACGGCGGCGGGAAATAATTTTGGTGGTGGTGGTCTTATCGGGTTATCAGGTATTTTTTTGCCCCGCCATCAAAAAGTTTTTGCAGATGGACGAGATGCTCCCCGCTACTTGTGGCGCTGTGGCGGGTGTGTGGCGGGTGTGTGGCGGTGCAAGCTCCCTATGCTCTTTGTACTTGGAGAATCCAGGACTTGTTTGCTACACGGCAGATTGCAGGGACTTTTGTACACCATCACTATTAAATCTCTCTATGTATACGTTGCACTCCACGCGATAACATCATCAGCTTGTCACCCAGTCGACGTTCTGCACAGGCCGGATCCAACATGACAACCAACTTGGCGCCAGTCCTGGCCATTTCCCTCGCAAACCAGTCATGGTTTGATAAAATGTATGGGCCGGTCATTGCTGGCATCAAATCTAAGACAGAGTTGCAGCAGACCTCGGATGCTGCATCCGCGCTGCGTCTCCTGTCCCAAGTCCCCGCGCCCTCTACCGTGTTGATCACCGACCATGCCCTGGCGCTCAAAGAGAACGCCACGGTCTGGAACGCGGTGCTCAAATATGTCCGCGGCGGCGGCACTGCCGTGATCATGGGATCATTCTCGAGCTTCGTACTGCCGAACGAGATCGAGCCCTTCTTTGGGCAAGCAGGCCTGCGTTGGTGGGCGGGCCCGTACCACCGCAGCGTGCTGACGCTCAACGAGTCGGTGGCGGTCGCGTTAGGCGTGGATGCCGAGAAGCTGCTGCCGAGATACAGCCAAAAGGCGCTGTTAATGGCCACGAAGGCGACGCGTGCTATGCTCTACGTACCCGACAAAACTGCGCCAAGCATGTCCCGGGCTGCTCTCCCCGGCAATTGCGAGACTGCCGTGGCAATGGAAAGGGTTGGAGACGGAAGAATCGGGTACATCGGCGATGTCAATGCGGAGGATGGGTCACAGCGAGTTATTTTGGCCATGTGTGGGCTGCTGTAATATGCGAATGGGTGATGAGAAGCCTTTCCTAGCCAAGGTAGCCACGATGGCTACTCGACGACCAATTTTCAACATATGAGAGCTACTCTGTAGCATTGTACAGAAACTGCAAAGTCTGGTGTGCAGAGATGCAGCGAAAAGGGAACTATTCTGACCCGTCCATGGACGCCCTTTGCTGTGATGGGTGAAGCGTGCGCCTCGCTATTTTTGAGTCGAGTGGCGTGCGTGCATGGTGCACATTCCGCTGTAAGATGACCCGAGACAAATGAAGCGATAATTTATTATAGAATAGATCATCAGTTGCTGATGGAGGCGCATCCGCCTCCTAGCCGCCGAAATGCTGAAGCCGGAGGGGGGCGGAAATGGAAGGGCAAGGCTGCGTGATCAGCAGCTGCGTGATCAGCAGCTGCGCGAGCATCAGCCGGACAATTTATTTTTAGAGCTACACTGCCATGATATGCTGCTGATGCTGCAGCATCAACCGGATGTATTCGTCTGCACCAATTGCCTTGCCGTTGCCGGTCAATTTTGCGAACCACGGCTAAGTGGTCGCCTGGCATATCCCCGCATCGTAAATGCAAGAAACGCTTCGGCTCGCGTTATCCCGGTCAAATCGCTGCCGATAGGCAATTCAATTGGGATTTTCTGATCATGCGTCCCAAACCCTTGCGTATTGCTTGATTCGGTCTGCATTCAGCCTGCATCCAGACTGCATTCAGCCACCTCACCGGTCAATGACTGGCTGTATTTTCGTTATTCGAATCAGCTTCTATAGTTGCTCTTGTATTCTGTTTATGCCTCTTACCCTTATTATTCTAACTAGTATCTCTCCCTTTACATCGTCTTTGGAGGGAATCTCGCTTCTAGTTGTGTGGGCGGCTCTTTTGCCGCCCGGATGCCAGGCTACTTTCGGCCTCAGTGTTCCGGCCAAGGAAACAATGTGATAGATGCACCCGGTGTTTCAGCCTACGCAGACATACAGACTGGCATAGGCCGTGGACAGTTGGTTGCGCTCAATCTCCGCGATTTCTGCAACAAGGCTACCATGGCGCATTCTGCTCTGATAGTGACAACCTATTCGGCTGCAGCTGATCAGCGATGCAGGTTTATTGTTTGATATTTATAAACACAAGTGGTACATATTTCTAGCATATATAAATGACTTATGGCCCCCTCTACCTCGTTTCCCTGCTCTCGGTTCTACGTGCAACCGACATACAATGACTACCCATGAATGTATCCAAGCCGAACTTGCCCAGCAAAAGGCAGAGCTTTTTTTGCTGCTGCAACAGCTGGGAAAATCTGATGGCAGCGATCAACTCCTCCGTTACTTAAAAGACATCGAGACAAGCTCCCCACCCGCCGAGGTTTCCCAGACGCTGGTATTTGCTTTACTGCAGCTTTACAGCAACAGGGTAGCAATACTAGACCTTGCAGAAGACAATGTCATTTTCGACGCCATTGATTGCATGCCCGCGCCGCTGGGCACTCAGGTGGCAGCGCATCTCTGGAACGGCATACGTCAATCGGCAGACTTGAGGCGGGGTCTGAATGCGACGCAGCGCCTTCCCGGGAACAGACTCAAGCTCGAGGCGGCAGGTTGGAGAAGGGAACACCTACGAGCAGCCGCAAGCGTAGGGGACGTGAACACTTTCCGTATTCTCGCTGCCGACAGAGAAAGTGCCATTTCCGTGCTGGAAAGCAGAAATGGTCGCCGACTTCTCCGCATTGCATGCAGCAAAGGCCACGCAGACGTCGCAAGGCATCTGGTCAAGGTGGCGCCATGGCTGGCTTCAATGACGGACGGGGAAATCAACACTCCCTGGCATTTGTGTGCTCGAGGTGGACACCTCTCGGTGCTTGAAATGATTTTCGAAGAGCTGGAGATTGACAGCGGGCAGTTCATGGTGGACGAGCCGCCGAAGAAAGACCATCCACTCAAGGCCGACAGAGACTCAAACTATGAGTTCTTAGCGAGGGGAAATGGGTACTTTGAGGGGAAGAATGGCCTTCGAATATTCGAGATGTCCAAAAACGACGCACCGGATAGCCCACCGAGACGACAGACTCGGGCAATGACACACTTCTCCCCGGCATCCGTTCTGGAGGCTCGAACTTCGTCGGGGCAAACCCTTTTACATGTAGCCTGCGCCAACGGCCACCTTGAAATCGTTGACTTTCTACTCGACAAGAAAGCGGATCCAACCGTGACTTGCAGCGCTGGCAGGAGCTGTCTCCGAGTGGCTTTGGCGGGCGGCTACTCTGAAGTTGTCAGCCGCCTACTGTGCGAGTCTATAGTTCACGACACTTTGAACAAGCCAGGGATTCTCTCTGTTGTCGATAGCTTCTTCTGAGATGGGGGAAGTCTCGGTTGGCGTGTTGCTGCGGGCTGGCGCCGACTGCACTGTGCGGAATCGAGACTTGTCAACGCCGATTACGCAAGCAATCAAGCAGAAAAAGTACGACAATTTATCGAAACTGCTCTCTTCAGATTGTGCACAGAAGAATATGGAGTATGCAATGACATATACAAAAGAGGGCGACTTCAATTCCACTGCGCTTCACCTTGCTTGCGAGTGCAATTTTCGTGACGCGGCAAAGCTACTTCTTGAACATGGCGCCGACCCCAACATCCGCGACAAGCTTGGGAGAACTGCATTGCACGAAGCTAGTCGACTGGGCAGGGACAAGATTGTGGGCGCTTTGGTCAACAACCGCAGACCTCGGATGGATCTGAATGCATTGGATGAAGAGAGAGGCTGGTCTGCCTTTCATTATGCTTGCTGCGAGGGCTCGGACGACGATTGGCCACCCAAACTAGATAAGCATGCCCTTCGTCCAGAGGACAAGACAGAAGTCATACATTGTGGTTCGTATTATGCTGTCATTTCCCACCTGGTGGACGCGGACTGGTTCATACCGGCTGGCAACGGCGACTATTTTATGCACCTCGCTGCACAGAAAGGGAATGTCAATCGACTTCGCTTCCTTCTGGAAGAGCTCAAGGACGATAAAGAAGCTATCCCTCTATATTTGAAGGGCGCTGGTGGTCATTTGCCTTTGGAACGTGCGCTCGAATATGAACACGCCGCAGTTGTTGGACTCCTCACTGATAAGATGTTCAGCATTGAGCTCGATGAGTCGTTTGACAGGGAGAATTTACTGATGTGGCTCACCAAAACCCCAGAGACCCGCGATGTGTTATCCAAGGTCCTCAGCAAGGAGCTAGTCGCCCAAGGCCGCCGTGGCTTCGGTCCTGATTTAGATGCGCTGGGCTGGGCCGCCTATTCTGGCTCTGCGAGCCTCGTCTGGAGGCTTCTCCAATGCAGCACGCCCGGCCAAGCACTCGAGTGTAGCATCAGAGAGGCCATCACAGCTGCCCACACTGCCATGAGAGAGCTCGAAACCGAGGACTATTATGGGAAGTGTCCTCCGGAAGTGAATGGAACAGAGGAGACTGGCGCTGGAGACGTGAGTGGTGAACAAGAGATAAGAATCGAAAACAAGCGCGCAATCGAGGTGTTGAGCCCTACTACGGCGACCGAAAAGACCCGAGAGAAGCTCAGGGATATATTGTGCATTTTGCATAACCCGCCTGCTACATCTCGGCCCGCCGTCCGCGACAGCGCACTCAACCAGGGGCCTCAATTTGACGCGGACAGTCAGCCGTCTCGGTTTGTGAAGGAATTGATGGTTGAGTTGGTGGGTTGCTGCAAGGATTCACTGCTTAGAAGATCGGTCTCAGTGAAGGACGCATTGTACAAGGAAGGGCCCTTCAGCATCATGGAGACCGAGATCAAGGAGATTAAGAAGCTGCATGAGCAGTTCGGCGTTATTCCGGGGGAGCAGACTGGAGATGGATTGAGTGAGGGCTCGGCGGCGCCAGAGATCGCGAGTGAGGGCCTGGCAAGATCGCTAAAGATGCTGTGGATTCATCTACCCGCGAATAATGTGAGTTATACCTACAAAACCTATGTCCCGCATAAGCACCTCTTTCAGGCCACGAGGGGGTATACTAATATGCAGCAGATGAAATGGCATGAAGTGAGAAAACCCCCCCCCCTCGTGGCCTGAAAGAGGTGCTGATGCGGGACATACAGGATGCATGTTTAAAGGTCAACTCTGAACTCAAACTCAAAAATGACGAAGGGAATCTCCAATACCTGTGTACCAGTTGGGACGAGGTTATCGGTAATGGCCTCCGGACCAACTTGATGAAGCCTCTCTGCACCACACGCTTCGATGCTGGTCACCCGGTTCGTATCCTTCCACTACTCACCGTTCATTTGGCATGGCAGAGGCTAACATGACAGTGCAGAATTGTGCGGCCATATATGTACAGCTCCAGAAGATTGAGTCAGTTACTCTGTTAGTTTGCTAACCGTGTAGCAGATCCCATACGTCGCTCCCGCATGGCGTGGGCACGAAACGGACAAGAATCCTGACGAGTTGGTGGGCCACTACCGGTTGAAAAACCACCTCATTCATGGAAGCAGGACGCTGGACGAGTACTTTTACCACTCGTGTCGCTGGATTAGCATGAAGAGAATCATGGAAGCGCGCAACTGTGACCAGATACTGACCAAGTCCCTCGAGGGGGGCAAAATGAAGCCCGAGAAACCGGCCATCTTGGTCCATGTTGACCAGCTGTGGATTTGGATTCCGAATAAAGGTAAAAAAGAACTGTTGCTCTCTCACTTTTTGATCATCAAGTCACTAATCATAAGTGGTATAGACGTCATCATCACATCCGCCACGCACCGGCAAGATGGCGAATGTGACCCCGTCTTCGCCGCCGCCTTTGACGCTCTGCAAAAGGCCATCCGCACCAACGGCAAGATGCCCAGCGACGCGTTCGAAATGGCACACTTTATCATGGACGCCTGTAGCAACCTGTTCTCCCGGCGGTTCTCCATGAGCAGCACCAGGGCGCAGAGGTCGTGGTCCCTTTCGGCGGGCGACGGCGACGACCGGCGGGGCGACCGCCAGAGCCGCTCGGATCGGGTGTCGGGGTTTGGCAGGAGAGGCCTCAAGCGTGAGTATACCGGGCCGCTCGAGAAACAAGCGCCAGATCTGCTGTCGCGGGTGTGCATCAAGGAAGCGTTCACCGCGGCCATTGCCGAAGCTGTGAGTCTGCCTGCTCCCCACCCACCTTGTAAAAGTTGGCCCATGAGCTGACATGTTGATCCTCTTGCTCAAGGTCGCCATGGAGATTGAGCTCTACGAGCGGTTTATCGAACAGCAACGGGGAGCGTCTCAGCACTCGGCCGCACGAGGCGGCCACAACCCCCTGTTGCCCGACGACCGCACCCTGGCCGCCCGGCTGTTCCGCGAGATCAAGGACATCCGCGACGAGCTCAAGATACTGCGGATCGTTGCCGAGTCGCAGCGGTCGGTGCAAAGGGAGTTTCGCGATCTGGTGGGCCTCGAACTGCAAAAGATTGGCGACAAGGATGTGGTCGATGAGCTGCACGACTTGGACAAGGCTGTCGAGCAGATTGAAACATCGGTAAGAACGAGCTTATACACCCATTTCCTCAGCCGAAGCGACTGCTTAACTTTTCTTTAGGTCAGCATAACATTGAACCTTCAGCAAAATGCAACCTCGATCGCGCAGACCGACGTCGCAGTCTATCACGGGCAGATTATTCTCGTCTTCACAGTCGCTACGATTATCTTTGTAAGTGCGCGTGCCGGTGTTGTTTTCGTGTTTACTGTATCCCATTATCCTATTGGGAAAACTGACACCTGCTAGCTACCCATGTCGTTTTTCGCTTCCTTGTTTGCGCTCCAAGTCGACTCATTCCTCAATACTCCGCGGTGGGCATTTGGCGTCTTGTGTAAGTCCGCCCACTCTCACCCTTCCCCCCTGACTTGTCCTCTCGTTAATACACAATTGTGTAGTTGGCGCATCCTCCATCATTTCGATATCATTGGGTGTGTACGCCTTTTGCTCTGAAGGGATCCATGCTACCATCACAGGCATTTGGGGGCGTTTTGCAAACGATGTGAGTTTCTTTTTTTTTTTGCCGCTCATCCCCTTGCCCCTTCTCCAAGTTAGGACGCCAAATTGCTAAGTACGTCAAGAGTAAAGGACGTGACAACAAGAAACCCCAAAGGATCTATCCAGTTATGGATGACGACATGAGTCATCTTAATCAGGACCAAGATGCTAATAAAGGAGATAATACCGATAAAGGAGATAAGACCAATAAAGGAGATAAGACCAATAAGAAAAACCACGTCGGCTATCATTTACCACATATCAGGACGAACCAGTCTTTTGCGGACCAGACTCTTTCGCCGTCAAACCCCAGGAGGTTATTCGTCACAAGAAGAGGACTTTCTTTTCGCACTCGCACAAGCACCTTGGAACCGCCCAGCTCCGTGGTACCGGCAGACGCCGCTGGCGACTGGCCTGCACGATACCTCTTCTCTTGGCCGCTGCTTGCCAAGCGGGCGGCCTCCGCTCCCGCCTCGCCGCCGTCAAGCCCCATGCAGACGTCCCCGCCGCGAATGGAAGTGGCTTTTCTCAATGCTCGTCTCTGGCGGTGGGCGCCTGCTGTGCGGCAGTGGCTCGTGGTTCGTTGGCCGCAGCGCGCTGGCGGCCGGCGCTTGACTTCACCGCTGCCGAGTACATCTGGCTCGCCCGAAGAGACGCTCACTATACAGGGCTCCCTGGAAACTGGATTGGGGCAGATGAAGCGTGGAAATGGCAGGTACCGGTTATAGGGGTGTAGGTAGGTACGAGCGCGTAAAATGAGCCATGAGCTTGCCAGGGAGCTCGCCTACTGGCTAAAGGTTTGAGACGGAGACCTTGTCGATTGTGAGTGATTTAATTGTTGAAGGATTTAATTGTGCGAGGATTCAATAGTGGAAAGATTCAAAGGGCATGTTCATTGCTCCGTATGTCCAAATTTTACTTTATTCATCATTATATAATGTGCTCAAATAACATTCTCCAGCATCCCAACATCATCATCTTCTTCATACCGTGTTCTGTCTACTTCAGGCTGCGCCTCCTCTTCTTCTTCATCCTCGTCCAAGTCGTGCATGGGATAATTTAGAATCGCAGCAATATCGCCCAGCATCTTGAGGCGCTGTCCGCTTTCGTGATCACTACTCAGCACGCGCGTCTCGCCCCCGTCTTGCTTGACCTTGTCGACGAGAGCGACGTACTTTTTACGCACCTCCAAATCGTTGCTGCGAAACAGCGAATTGTTAATGAGCAGGGTGCCGCCGCCGGGGCCGACGCCGCCGTCGGCAACGGCCTTGTGGACGGCGTGAGAGCCGTACCAGGCGCGTCCGTCGTCGCGCTTGAGCAGCTCAAAGAACTTATCCATCAAGATGGCCTCCTTGGCAAAGTTCATGTCGCGCATCTGGGCCATGACGGCGGGGCTCTTGAGCACCTCGCGCAGGCTGTGCATGTGGCCCGAGTTGGCGTGGATGACGGTGGCCTGCTTGGCGACGGCGGCGAGCGTCTTGTCGGACCTGTCGCGGGCCTGCTGGGCAATGTAGTTCTTAAAGTCGGCGGCGACGAAGCCCGGGCTGGCGAGCAGCAGCGGGCGGGGGGCGGCAAAGTCGACGGAGCGCAGCAGGGTGGCGAGCGTCTTTTCGTAAAACTTGTGGACGCCGGCGTCCTGGGTGGCGGCGGCGTCGCGCTTCCGGGGCACGACGTGGTCGACGCGGGCCTTGAAGACGGTGCGGAACTCGGTGATGAGGCAGATGTTGGCGAGCCCCTCCTGCATGACCACGGTGGCGGTCGCGCGGTGGCGGTCGTCGCCGAGGCCCTGCGCGAGCGCCTCGCGCGCGACGCTGTCCCACCCGTGCGCCTTGATGAGCGTAAACGGCCGGTCGACCTCGAGGTCGAGCGTGTGGTGCGAGCCGAGCGGCGCGTGCTCGTTCTCGGAGCAGATGGTGCCCGACACGCGCAGCGACGACGCGGCAGGGTCGAAGAAGAGCGACTTGACCTTGACGGTGAGGTCCACGTGCACGCGCTCCGACTGCGTCGCGCCGGTGCCCGTGTTGGTGACGCTGACTTTGCGGATGGCGTGCCCGCGCACGCGGTCGCCGACGACGATGAGGTTGTATGCGTGCCACTGTGACGTGTGTGTTAGCATGGTTGGGAGCCTGTGTGGGGGAAAGCGCGGCGATAGTTACCATGTCCTCGGGCTCCTCGGGCTGCAGTGTGATTTGCTCCTCCTCGACGTCTTTGAACTGCTTTTGTGATATCAGCTTCATGGTGGCGGATGTCGTGTGGTTGTGTGTATGGCTGTGCTATTGGTATAATGGCATCTGTGTTGTCCGAGAAGAAGGAGTGGGAGATGGGACGGTCGGTCAGGCGATTTTATATGTGCGGTCAAGGTCAAGGTCAAGGTTGGACGACTGCCCCTCCATTGACTTTGCGAGAGGATTATTAGGCGCTTCAGGCACGGCGTTAGTGGGGGTGGCGTTGTAAAGGTAAAGTGTCTGGTGTGTGGCGCTACAGGCTTCGAGTCACCAATGACGGACTGGCAAATATGCAGCGCGGAGAATTAAAACACGCAGGTATGTAGCGAGGCAGATGTAAAGGCAAAACCACACATTTTGCCGTGCAGATTGGAATAAGCCACACTTTACAATAAAACGTACTCAGGAAGTCGGCAACGAATGTAGTCTCGTCGTGTAGGTTGGCGTGCGCCACAGTATCATCAACTGTGGCTTACCGCGCCAGACATTGTCACTGAGCAGCCGCGGATGCTAATTTTTATTAAAGTTTGCGTTCCTTGGCTACTACTGTATTTCTATGTTTCGACACGCGCCTAGAGCCAAGCTAAAAGTACGTACCAAGAAGCGCTGTCTTTTTCAATATACTTTACGTCAAGTGCAGTGAAGGCACTCGCTCGCTATTGTCGGTCCAGCGCCGCGAATGGCATGTATCCTTCTAAGACGATGAGTTGAAAAAGTATTCCTGTGAATACAGGTTTTCCATCATTTCATTTCGTTTGGCCGTCCGGTTTCACCCCCAAAAACTATCTGCCAGGCCTTGATACGTAGTTACTTTGACTCAGGCTACAACAGGCGATTGGGATAGAAATCTCCACCCAGCTTAAAATAGCTTATTAGCAATACCAAAGCTGCAGATATGCTGACCGCTACAAAGATAATTCAATACGTACCTATGAAATCAATACTTGAAGGGAAACATGACACGAGCAACAGCTTACTACTTGTTGAGATTGGTCCCACGCTCGGTGAGCATGATGTGCACCCCGCCCAGCTTAGTGTGAATGTTCTAAACTTATGTCAAAGCCGATATAAACAGAACATCTAAGAGTAACAAAGAGCGCGTAGCGTACAATATCGATCGCGACTCAGCCATTGATGAGAGATGTATTGTAGGGTTCCGTATCCGGAGCCGAGATGGACGTCGCGGCCAGGCTCGGTTGCCTAAATAAACTCATAATTGACACCAGGCGCCACGAATACAACCCCGAATTATTCCATCCCAAATGAGCACTTCGGGAAGCAATGCATGACCACGTAACGAATCTTTTGAGCCCGTATCGGCAGAGAGACTACAAGACTCACCGGTGCTAATCGGGCAGTACTTGAGCCGTGTGACATTACCAAAAACGGACGACACCAGCTCTGGACTGGTGCGACACCGAGGACACGGCGACGGGCGTAACACTGCCGGCGCCGTGTGGCAGAGCCATCTGCGCGGCGCGGGAACGGGCTGCTGGCGCTGTGCGAGGACGTGGTCCTCAAGCACAGCGCGGGGCTGGTATATCCCGTATTGATGAGGCACGGAGGGCCGGATTTGCTGGCGGACATTTTTGCGCCGAGGGCTGCCGGGGGATGAATGGTGCAGATCGGGTGATGGATGCTGGCGATGCGGTCAACAGACACTTTTACGCGTATTACGAGTGTCGCGTGGCTGGGGGTGGGGATGAACCACGACAACGAACCGCGGCGATCCGATTCAGTATTAATACGCAAATACATGTGAGACAGGGGCGAGTGAATAATCGAGATCCCAAGTGATCAAGTATAAAGCTGGCAAGATATTTCTGCATTGTGCCAAGGCGCGTTGCGGAAATAGGAACACGCGTATTATGTCATGGTGATGCTCACAAGACTCTCCAGGGCCAATCTACAAAGACGGTCTAGATTGCGATTCGAGCCGTCGCTAGGCTGAGGGAAAGAGTGCGATTCGCAACATTGCAAAACGCCTCGACAGACTTGCCGTTGTGGGCTCGGATCCGACCAGCCTCGAATGCGAGGGAGACGGGGCAGTACGCGTAACCAACGTCGTGATTTGACGAGTCGTTTTTTTTTTTTTTTTTTTACGTTTGAACTAGCTATTTCGACGACTGTGGGGGAAATATCTGACCGCGCGGGGGAATGCAACCAAATTTGGCACTAATTCGTATCCGTACTGTACTTTATTAGTTACTTTTTCGGCAACTTGGCAGCCTGTTATCCGGTTACCAGGCTGTACTTTTCACAAGGAGCTGCATGGGTTCTAGATCGAGACTGAGTAAGACAAATCTAGTGGTAACTGGCAGGGCAGAGAGAGAACAAAGGCTGCAATAGACGGATAGAGGGTTGGACAAGTATTGTCTCTTTCCACATTAGCGTGCGCCCGGGATGCAGAGCTAGCGGTTGCCTGTCAGCAGCAAGCCACATGCAGAGGCAGCCACCGACGCACCACGTATTACTGATACGGTGACAATCGCCGAGGCCTTGGTTCAGCCTTTTTTTTCCTGTTCGTCGTCGGCCCGCCCGCCCTTGCTGCATCTCGAAATAGGACGCCCTGGTTCCGTTGCGGGAATACCTTGTCTTGGCGCTCAACACCAGGCTACCAGTGCGGCAAGTGGGCGATCCATACTATGCAACAGGGGGGCGGACAGTTTACCCAGTTGTGTATTGAATATTCATTGTTATTCATAGCTGCGTGTTCTGGCACCAACACGATGAGCGAATCCGAGAGGCGGGCAGGGAGCGGCGGCGCGCCCGGTCAAGCCCTGAAGGGACCATCGTGCCGCCGAATATGGACCCGTCTCGATGGAGGGGCAGGACTCGAATTCATACCTACAGTGGGGTTCCCAAAATTGTAGTTTCATCATGACAAACTCCCCACCCAGGGAGCCAACAGGCAGAACACCTGGAGGAGAGGAGGGTTACAGTCAGACATGACTAGTAAAAGAGCGGAATAGCGAGGGTTGGCAATTGCCAATAGGGCGACGGCTACACTCCACCAGTACCTGCGTATCATTGCTGAAGAATAAATGCCAAGCAAACAAGGAAATATGTCTGATAGCCTCGACCTCGACTTGGAAGCAGAAACTCTTAGCTATTGCCTGGTGCCTTGCCTTGGCAGAGCACTAATATAACCCGGAAGCTGGCGCGGTCATGGTGACGGCACAAGAGGCGACAAGAGACAAGACAGGCCCCGTTAGTAGGTACAAGTCAGTGCGCCGAGAAGAGCGTGGGGCCGCTGGTGCCCCTCCATCAGCAGATGTCGCGGCCTTGTCGTCGTGGATTCTGGATTCTGCAGCACCCGCAACGCAACACCCCGGCCGCCAGCTGCCAGCTGCCAGCTGCCAGCCCGTATCTACTATAATCATCGACACGGGTTCCCTGTTTGCGCCGTCTCGCTTCCTCGCATCGCAGTTTGCCTCGCACATTATCTCCTTGCCGGAATTGTTTCATTCCCCTTCATCTCTTCCTCCTTGCTTCATAGCCTACCTATGCCATTGCTCTCAGCCTTGCTTCCTACACCTCCTCGTCCCCCGCCAAACCTTATTCTCATCCAGCCTATTTCTCAACAGCAGCCTCGATCCGGCCAGCGTCGCACGCGCCGAAACGTCGCCTCCGTCATCGATACCACCGACCTCAATTGCTTTTGCTTCGTCCATCTTTTTTCTTCACTTTCTTCATCCTCAATTGCCAGTCTCCGCCGCCGGAACCCCCGAGCCTGGACGCACACCCCGGCAGTGGCAGGCACCCAAACTCCGCCCATGTCCCAGAGCTCGTTTTCCTCTTGCGGACCTCACGGCTACGGAGAGTATCAGACCTCCGAACTGGGAAGCAACTAAATTAGCACCGCGGCGCTTGTGACAGCGGTCAGGTCGTCCCGACGATAGTTTTTTTCCCTGCTCCTCTCGACGTTTTTTTTTTTCCCTCCAGACGTTACAGTCAACTTCTTGCCCACTCATCATTTAGTCGTGAGACAACTTTCTGCGATACGCCCAACAACCCTTCGTCCCGGGAATAATCCGACCACGGCCAACCATCGAATTTCCACCTTTTCCCATTCAGCAGCCTGATTTCCTTCGCCCACCCCTCGTCGCCCGTGGCTAGCGTCAGCCAGTGATTCCCTGTGAACTGCTATATTTGGGGCCTTAACGCGACAATTCGCATCTCCGTCCCACGCCCTTGCTTTTCCGTGATGCCGGATTATTAAGTCTGCGCTCGCACCACGAGTTCCTTCTTCGGAATATACATTGCTTTCCTCTTTGCTAGTATGGAATCATGACCCCCGACGTTTCCTCGCCTGCGCCAGCAAGCGATCTACACCTGGTCGGGGACCAAGACCGACGCTCGCGACTAGACGCCAAATCGCCTTCATGTTAGTCTTGCGACTCTTTCGCCAGAACCCGCCACATTCGTGCTAATTGTTCTGCAGTCGAAGAAAATGGCTCCGAGTCTCTCAGTCCAATCGTTAGTCGACGTCCAACTTCGAAGCATTCGCGCAGCGCCGGTCCGCCTGTCAGCAAAGACAGCCAGTCGACCAAGAACACATTAAAACCCAGTACCTCAATCCAAGGCCACGGCTCTGGCTTGGACCCTCTCAGCACAGTAGGTATCTTGACATTCGGACCGAATCGCATGATGCTAATTGTGTAGCAAATATACCTCCGAACAAATAGCAGTACCGAACCCACCATTGCGCAACGCCTGCTAAGTGCTGGCAGACCCGACAGCCCGACCCCCGACAGCATCAGCCGCCCCAGCCACGACTCAACCCCCAGTGCTCGTCCGGACAGTATCAAGGATCGCAAGAAGGGCCCGTCGTTTCTAAGCCGCCTGTCTATCCGTGGACCTTTCCGAAAGGAGGATGATGCCGACTCCGACTCGGAGTTCGGCGACCATGCTCGCACCGATGGATCCAATGCCCGAGCCCTTACCATGGTCATGGGTGCCGGAGGCGGTTACCTACCGCTACACAAGGAACCGCCCCGGTATATTCGAGTCAAGGCACACACAAAAAGTCTCGCAGCTTTAATCACATGTTTCTCGCCCAGGAGCTTTCCAGCGCCAAGAAAGCCGACGGCCGCTCCAAACATGTGCCTGCCACAGTCGTCGGCAGCAAGATTCTCAAAGGAGGCAATGCTATCTGGGCGGCTGAATTCAGCGTTGACGGTCGCTACCTCGCAGTTGCCGGCATGGACCATGTCGTCCGCGTGTACGCCGTTCTCTCGACACCCGAGGAACGAAACGCATATGAAGAAGAGCAGGAGCAGGACGAGGAGGAGAAAGAGAGTCGTTCCAAGAATGAACGGCTAAGCGCGCCCGTCTTCCGCAGCAAACCTATACGCGAATTCGAAGGCCACTCCGGAGAAGTCCTCGCTTTGAGCTGGAGCAAAAATAACTTTTTGCTATCTTCCTCCATGGACAAGACGGTGCAGTTGTGGCACCTAAGTCGGCCAGAGAGTTTATGCACTTTCAAGCACGATGATCTTGTGACATCGATTACATTTCACCCCACAGACGACCGCTTCTTCCTGGCTGGATCCTTGGACGAGCAACTGCGACTATGGAGCATTCCCGACAAAGCTGTCGCCTTTTCGGCTCCAACAGGCGAATTCATTACGGCTGTGGCGTTTACTCCAAATGGCAAGACGGCCATCTGCGGTCTTCTCAGTGGCATTTGCATATTTTTTGAGACGGAGGGGTTAAAGAATCCCTGGCAAATCCATGTCCGCTCATCACGCGGCAAAAATGCCAAAGGCAGCAAGATTACCGGTATTCGCACCAAGACGATTTCTGCTCACGGGTCCCCGCAGGCAGATGTCAAGGTTCTGATCAGCTCCAACGACTCGCGCGTGCGTATCTACAGCTTAAAGACGCGCATGCTCGAGGCCAAGTTTAAAGGCCACGAAAATATGTCAAGTCAGATCCACGCCAGGTTCAGTGACGACGGCCAATTCGTGACTTCGGGCAGCGAGGATCGCAAAGCGTACATATGGGATATTTCGCGCCCCGACCTCGAGATCCGCGACAAACAGCCTTATGAGTCCTTTGACGCGCATCCCGAAGTGGTGACTGTGGCTCTCATGGCGCCGACTGCGACGAAGCAACTTTTGAGCGCTTCTGGCGATCCAATTTACGATCTGTGCAACCCCCCACCGGTGACGCTGATGAGCTTGAGCGAAGCCACAGTCAGCCAGAGCGCCCTTTCCGAAGTGACGTATTCGGATGTGCCGGGAAGCGTCAAGAAGCCGGCCGAGAGTCCTGCTTACCTCGAACGGTCAAAGCACAAACATGGCAACATTATTATTACTGCCGATCGAAAAGGTATCATTAAAGTCTTTAGGCAAGACTGTGCGGCTGTAAAGCGGCACCAAAGTCTGTGGGAAACGGGGTCCAAGTTTTCAGGCAAGGTCGCTGGCGTCGGCCGCAGCTCCAGCTTGGCGACGAGGACAAGCGCTGGCAGTCGTGTTCATTCTCGACGTGGATCTCTCAGCACGACTGGGAACGTGGTGCCGAATCAGGGTACTTCGGACAGAATCATGAGCTGGCGGCAGGATATTGAAGGCGGGCGAAGCTTGACTGCAACACCGAACGCACCAAGCGAACGTTCAGTCTCGCCATCTAGAAGCGTCGTCCGAACCCCGAATGCTTCAGTCTCTAATCTAGCCTCGGAAGCCAGAAGGCAGCCGTACGCTGCCACGTCGCCGTCGCGGAAGAGGAGCAACAGCAACCTGCTGAAGCGCGGCCAAACGCCGTCTACCAATCTGGATCCTGTCAAGGCTGGTACTAAGAGCAAGAACCAGAATAAGGATCAGAACAAGGGCCCCACCGTTCTCCCGACACCAAGCTTTAGCCTGGTGAGCACCATGGAGGCTGACGTCCCGGACGATGCTCGCGACGGCAGCTTCTGGAACCTCAGCCGCTGGCGGGGAGGCATTTCCGGCCTGCGCAACGTAACCACGGTGGGCGACAAGCCGAGCACCGGTTCGCGTCGGGACAGCACATCGACGGAAAAGTCGGGCCACGACCATCAGCGTAGCATGGGGGTGAATGACTTGCGTCGTCTAAGGGTGAGCGGCGGCGACGAGACCAGCCGACGGCGCTCGATGCTGCCTGCCGTGTCGAGCGAGGCGGAGCCCGAGGAGCCCTCGCAGACGGTGCGCCCCGAGCAGCAGCCGCAGCGAAACGTGGTGGTGGGTAGTGGCAGGCGGCGCCAAGAGTCGCCCGGGAAGAAGCGGACTGATTCGGGTGTTGGACAGCTGAGCGGGACGTCGAGCGAGGTGAGCGAGTAGGCTGGTGCTGAAAAGTATGATATTGGTAGTGGTTGTGACACTTTTTACAGGTGTAAAGGACCGGCGGAACATGTTGACTCATTTACCCCATAGCTGGGAGCATTTACTTTGTTGACAATTGCATGCTGCAAAGTGCGGAGTTGGATAGCGATGAATTACCATTGATAAATTTCCAATCCTGAACGACTCGCGACCTTGTGTTTCTCTAAGCGTGTCTCTCTCGGGAACTGCGACTGCGTTGTTCGAGGTTAATACCGAAGCATACTCTGGGTATTTCAATTGTTTTTGTATTTGTAAAATTGTAGCTATTCTAGCTGCGAGCGACACGTCTCTGTTCGATTCGACCGTTGCTCGCCCCGGGTATATTGCATGTTTTTGTTCGGCGGGTAGCGGGTATTGTCCGTGTCCATTCGCCGGACAAGGATCGCTGTTTTTAAAAGTCTTCGCTCGTCGAAAACTATTCCTACAAAGAAAATCCACCACAGGCATTAGAGATGAGCGGCCGACTCGTTGCCTGCAGGCGCACTCACAGCATCGGCGGCCTTGGCCTTGGTGGAGAGGTCCTCGACGACCTTTTGCAGCGCCGGGGGCTTGGGGGCCGTGAGGTCGGCCGTCTTGTCGCCCTTTTCGAAGAAGAAGAAGGCGGGGATGGAGCGGACGCCGAGCTCAAAGGCGAGGTCGGGCACCTCGTCCGTGTCGAAGCGCGCAAAGGTGTACTTTTCGGGGAGCGCGAGCGCGGTGGCGAACTTGGTGAAGAAGGGCGAGATGGCCTTGCAGGGCCCGCACCAGACGGCGTGGGCCTGCAGCGCGACGTAGGGCGTCTTCTGGACGAGCTCGTCAAACTGCGCCTTGGTCTTGATGTCGACGATGGACATGTTTGCGGTGTTTTTTGGGGGGGATGAAGGGGGTTTTTTGCGGCTGGTGCGGGGGAGAGAGGGAGGGGTCGTTTGTGTGGTGATGTAATGGGGAGGGGAGAGAGGATCCGGTACGGCAAGAGATGGGCGAGATTGGATTCAAGTATCTGGAGCTGGAATTGGAAACTGGAATTATGATCGGTAAGCTGTGGCGGTTTTGTCATTCCATGAGCTGGCAGCGTCGGCTGCTCGCCCATGCCGTCAGGGCGATGGCGTGCTTTGGCGGGGCCACACGAGCTAGTTCACTTCGGATGCCGACGACGCGAAGACGCGCCAGACAAGACTCGGACCATCGGCTAAGGGGATTGGGGATTGGCAACCATGGGACGGGCTCGGATTCAAAGTGCGAATGGGGTCGCCAAGATATACAGGCCGTTGCCGTCCCCGCAGACTGTGGTGGTGTCGGCCGATGATCCGATGTGCCCCTACTCGGATGCTTAATGTGAACAGCGAGAAGGCCTTGATGAGCGCCGTCATTTCAGTCTCCCACTTTATTGTACGTCTCTGGTTCCTGCTGCCCTGCCCTTAGGAGGAATTCGGAGCCATCGGCGAAATCCCCTCCAAAGTAAAAGTCCCGTACCGGCGCCCTGGATTCCACTTCGTCACTGGCAAATATAGTAAAAGTGTGCACAAACGTCATGTAATCCGCATAGAGCTCGCTGTCGCTGTATTGGAAGTAGTTGAGCGGGAACCGCGCGCCGGCCAGCCGCCACAACAGGTAGTCAAACAGCTTCAGTTCCAGCGGCGTTGTCGGTGCCCCTGTCTCTCTATAGGTGTTTGGCTGGTCAGACTCGGTCACGACACTGTACAACAGGTAGGTCCAGTTCCCCTCATCGAATACGTCGGTGTAGGCAGAGTAAGGCCGCCGCCGATGGACGATGCTGTGTGTGGTGGGCCGCAGGTCCATGCGCGGGGGGTTCTTGGTGAGATGCACCTCGCGCACTTGAAACTGGTTGAAAAAGACGACGGGAATGGTTCGGTGCGCGGGCGGGTCGAGGTTTGGGGTTGATTCTATAGGAGACAAGGCAATGAGGCGCTGGATCCGGCCTTGTACACGCAGCATTTGCATCACATGCCAGATGAGGAGGTGTGTGTCCGAATGTTGCAGCCCGTCAACGTCGGCCAATGCACATTCTGGCTCCCAGCTGCTGTCATCACTCGAATGTTCACCATCAGAGTGACTGTAGTCTAAATTGCACACGCAGCACAACCCCCGCCCAGTTTTGTTCTGGTGGTGCTGCGCCATACGCTGTCGGGCCGCCTGATCCGCAAGAATATTATCACGGAGCCATACCGCAAAGGCTCCAAACATCTTCTCCTCCTCTTCCCTGTCTACAGGCATCCGAAATGCAGGACACTCAAGCAGATCTCTGAGCCGCTCGGCAGGGAAGCGTCCGTCCCTGCCAAGTGTCAGGGGCGGTCGGTCGAACCCCATGGAGTCATCTGGATAAATGGGATACTCGGTATACATGGGGGCGTTGTATAGACCAGCGATGGCTGCTGCCGCAGTCAGAGTGCGATAGATGGCCGTTTGAACGCGTGCTTCACATTCAGCTTGGTGTTCGGGTTCTTCTAGACCTTCGCGGTGCTCTCCGTGACGGGCCTCGCTATGTATGATAATATGCTTGGCCATCATTCTCACCATGAGAATCTGGGCCCAGAGGCCATTGAAGTCGGCCAGGCCTGGTCTTTTGTGAGCGCTGCTGAATTGGGCAACGTCAATGGCCATGGGGAGGGGCTGTTTGCGGGCTTCCTGGTCGTGCACAAACTGCGCTGCACGAAGCTTGGGAATAGTCAGAAATAGACTCGCAGACTCTCAGTATTGCTATAGCCGTATAAACTGACAGAGATGAGTGCCTCTTCTACGGCCGGGATTTGTCGCGTCCACAGCGACCACACGACACCAGCTCCGCGTGCGGCCCATAGCTCGGTCAATTGCTTGCATGTCGACCCGAGTGCCAGCGCATCCGAGGCGTCGGTGCAGCTTTCCAGGATGGTGGACTGTACTTCCAATGGTAATCTTAGGAGCGACATGTTGCAGGGCCGGGCCGCGCCGTTGGTTGATGATAATGGAGCGAGTGACTATTGTTGAGAGGAAAATGGAAGGAGAGGTACTTCGGTGACAGCGCCACTTTTACCCTAGACACGCTGTGCGGCCCGCTGGCTTGGGCTGCAGCATATTTTACCAAATGTTAGACAATGGATTTTTTTCTTTTTGGTTTCTGAATGATTTGCCACACGTGACGAATATTGAACTGGTGCCCCGTTCATACAAGACATACCATATACCATCTCAAGGAAAAGCTTACGACCATGTCCAACCGCCCACATGCGGCTTCAAAACTGCTGGGTTGCGAGGAATGGACATGGACAAGCAAGTCGACGACCTCGTTCTTTGTCTAACTAGTTATAGGCTTCAAGCATCCTTTCATACTTGCCCTGGCGGAAATGGAGGCTCTGCTGCTTTATTTCCGGGGGCGGCACCACTTGAGGTAGTGATTCACGCGACAGTATGTGCATTTGTCGTGTCTGTCGCCTTGTCCTTGCATAGCATAACTAGCACATGGTTCACAGCGCGCTTTTTCCCCAATTTTCATCGGTGCGGGGATTGGGGGCACGCTTTGTTTCTGCTTTTGCGGAAGGTTGTTGCAAAAATTGCAAAGTGACAACGAGGCTTACTGTGGCTGAACGGAAATACCAAGTCGCCACGGCCCATGTCCAAATTGCCACATGTGGCGAAAGGGCTTAAGCCACCAAGACCTGGCAGGCAGACCAGAGGAGTTATTATTTCTCCGACGTTGAGGCTGACCAGATGATTCACCGCGGAACAAGTCATGTTGGCAGTTAGTAGTTCACCTGAAGCCTCGTGCAAGACTGAAGCCTCGTTGCAAAAGGCCCCTCGGCTTTGCAAAAGGTCCTCAGCTGAGGGCTGGAGAATGGAGCAAAAAGTGGTGCAGGCGGTGGATGTGAACCCGTTAACTAGTGCACGGAGTACGGATAGGTGAGTTGATATGGTTATGTATAATAATGGTAAAGCGCCGAAGAGAGATTGTCAAGTGCTTTTAGTCAAGCCACCAACTATAGGTAGGTAGTTAGTGCCATAATGCCAAGGGATGGGATGGGGGCCGAAGCGGTATAACGCTGGAGGGAAGGAACTACTGACAGAAAACATCAGCACTTGCTTCGAGGCCGGCCGAGCCTTGTTTTTTCCCGTCGCATCAGGTAAGCCCGCCTAGCATTCCTCGTTCCTCGCCGCAATGCACAAAATAACAGCCCGTCGTATCAGCAGTTCGCATTGACTCGGCCAAGTTGCTACACTAGGTCAAACTTTACTTGAAAGGGTCAAGACGCCAGGCCCCCCCCCGACCAAAACTGCTTCGTTTGTTCCCTAATCCCGAGTCTACCCCCACATTACGACGGCGTTTTTCTCTTCTTTCGGATTGGTTAGGGCTCAATCAGACTAGGCCTTGGATCTATCCAATTCCAACGCCACAAAGTCAGGCCAGGCAAGGACCTTTTGTCGCTCCAACTTTCAACTATCTTAGTCGACTGGACCCTCTGCTTGCAAAAGTTCCTTCGAGTCGCTCGCAGCTTGTCTTTAAAATCCGGGGGTGCGCGCGCTCGACCCAACACGATTGACCATGTGACGCTCTTCTCATCCCTCTTCTTCTATTCTCCATTCTCCCTCTTGCCCTCTGCCGCCGCCCGTCATCATGGCCACCGAAAAGGACACCGCCATCACGTCCGGCGTCGAGGCCGCCGACACGACCGGCCAGGTCCTGGAGAAGCGCAATGACAGCATCGTCAAGATCGAGTCGTTGGACGAAGACGACGAGACCATCACCGACCTCTTCGTCAGCTTCCCGCCCATCAAGGGTGCCGCCCCCGAAAGACACCCGCTGACCATCCGCGCCGTCGTCGTCGGCGTCTGTCTCGGCTCCCTCGTCAACGCGTCTAACGTGTACCTCGGCCTCAAGACGGGCTTCACTTTCAGCGCCAACCTGTTTGGTGCCATCTTCGGCTATGGCATCATCACCATGCTCTGCCGCTTCCTGCCCAACACCCCGATCCTCGGCATGCCCTTTGGGCCCCAGGAGAACTCCATTATTCAGGCCGCCGCCACCGGCGCCGGCGGCATCGCCGGGCCCTTTGTCGCCGGTTTCCCCGCCATGTACCGCCTCGGCCTGTGGCAGCGCCCCGGTCAGTCCCAGCAGGACCAGAGCCCGTCGCAAGACTTTGGCAGCATCATCGCCATCACCGTCATCTGCGCCCTCTTTGGCCTCTTCGCCGCCATCCCGCTCCGCAAGTTCTTCATCATCAACGTCGCCCGCGAGCTCAACCTCATCTTCCCCACCCCCACCGCCGCCGCCCTCACCATCCGCTCCATGCACTCGGTCGGGTCTGGCGCCGCTGACGCCATGAAGAAGATCAAGGCCCTGCTGGCCTCGTTCTTCGGCGGCATCGTCATCCTCGTCTGTGGATCCTATGCCAATGGCATCACCCACGAGTGGCACCTCTTCACCTGGTTCTACGCTTGGGGCGGCTATGCGCATCCCACCCTCATGACCATTGAGAGCTGGGGCTGGTACATCCTGCTTACCCCCGCCTTTTTCGGCTCCGGGCTGCTCGTCGGCCGCAACGCCGCCCTGTCGTGGTGGCTCGGTACCTTTGTCGCCTGGGCCATCATTGGCCCCGTCCTGGTCTACTACGGCGAGTGCAGGACAAACGTGCTCTTTGAAGAGGACAGCAAGTGGCACCCCTACGTGTCCTTTGCCAGCATGTCTGGTCTCGGCAACGGCAAGCCCGTCTCGCCGCGCTTCTGGATGCTCTGGCCTGGTGTCGCCGTCCTGATTGTCTACAGCATGACCGAGTTCATCATGCACATCGGCGTCGTCTGGGAGGGTGTCGTCTACGCCTGGCGTGGTGCCTGCGAGGCCATCAACAACAGGATGCAGCAGCGCGGCAAGCACAATGCCTACATTGCAGGCCAGGCTGCCAAGGCAAGCGACCCAAGCAACCTCGTCGAAGACTTTGCTACAAAGGACCAGCAAGTCCCTGACTGGGTGTGGATGTCGGGCTGTCTAGCCATGACCGTCATTGCCATGCTCATCTGCCACTTCAAGTTTGGCATCAACCCTGGCCTCACTCTCCTCGCCCTCTTCCTAGCCCTCATCTTCGCCTTCCTTTCCATCCACGGTGGTGCCGTTACCGACAACACCCCTCTGACTGCCTCGGCCAAGGCTTCTCAGCTCGTCTTTGGTGGCATTACCCACGGCTGGGAAAAGACGCACGCTCAGCGCATCAATCTCATTGCGGGCAACATTGCTTCGGGCTGTGCCAATGTGTCCACGGATTTGACCAGTGACTTCCGCGTCGGCTTCCTTCTCAGAACCCCGCCCAACCTGCAGTTCTATGCGCAGTGCGTCGGTACCATTGTTGCCATCTTTTTGGCGCCCGGCATGTTCGTCTTGTTCATGGCTGCCTATCCCTGTGTCTGGCAGGCTGATTTGAGCGAGCTGGCGCAAGCGCAGTGCGCATTCCACGCGCCATCCGCGGGCGCCTGGCAGGCTGTCGCCGAGGCCATGACGCTGCCCAAGATTCCTATTCCCCACAGCTGTGTCATCTTCACCATTGTCATTGCTGTCCTGTGTGGACTCCAAGTCGTCGTTAAGAACCTCTGGCTTGTCGGTCCTCGCGAGAAGTACCGTGCCTTCCTCCCCAACTGGATGAGTATTGGCGTTGCTTGGGTTCTAGGCCCTGATACCGGTTATGCCAACATGATTGCTTTCGGCGCCATTACTGCTTGGTGGTGGAGAAAGTACTTTCCCCGCAGCTGGGAAATCTACGGCTACGCTGTTGCTGCTGGTCTTATCGCTGGTGAGGGTCTCGGCGGTGTCATCAATGCCGCCCTCACACTCGGTGGTGTTGACGGGACTACCATCGGAACCAAGATTGGTATTCCCGGCGAGTTTTAAATAATGCAAAACTCTCGCTAGTTTACACTAGTTTTTAATATATATATACTTCTTGGACTCAACCGATTTTCACTCAAGTGCGCGCTTCGCTGCTGGCAGTTGTAACTGCGGAGGCGGAGTACATGCAACATACTATTAGATTCTGAGGCTTATGATTGATCAGGTCATCGAGACCCACGTTATAGCTAGTGGTACAACTACTGTTCTCCCCGCCACTACATGTTGCGGACTAGAAGACGCCATCAACCATCACTAAACCTCTTTCTCAACGCTCTTCATCTCTGTCAAAATGTCCGGCAAACTCACCTTTGCCTCCAAGGTCAAGCTGAACTCGGGCCATGAGATGCCACGCCTCGGCTTTGGTGTAAGTGAACTTGCGTGAATCGTCGACACAGCAAGGGAAGGGGTAGCTAACCGTATACTCAGGTCTATCAAATGTACAAACCACGACGGTCAGCAACGACCGCCAATTCACAGCTAACTTTTACAGCCCCAAGGACGACTGCGCCGCCATCTGCCAAAAGGCACTGGAAGCAGGCTACCGACAAGTACGCGCTGCCATTGCCAAGTTTCACACGCTCCGTCGTCCCAAGACTGATTCTCACAGATTGACTCCGCGTCGATGTACCGCAACCAGGGCGAGGCGGCGGCGGCCATCCCGGCGGCGGGCGTGCCCCGCAGCGACGTCTTCTTCACCTCCAAGGTGCCCTTCTTCAAGACGCCGCTCGGCTACGCCAGCACGCACGCGCTCGTCGACGACGCGCTTGCGCAGACGCAGCTCGGCTACCTGGACCTGATGCTGATCCACAGCCCGTACGGCGGGCCCGACGCGCGCAAGGGCGCCTGGCGCGCGCTCGTCGAGTGCGCCGAGGCCGGCAAGGTGCGCGCCATCGGCGTCTCCAACTACGGCGTGCACCACCTCGCCGAGCTCGAGGCCTACATTACCGAGCTCGAGGCCGAGCGCGGCGGGGGGGCCGGCCGCGGCGGCGTGCTCTCCGTCGGCCAGTGGGAGCTGCACCCCTGGCTGCTGCGCCGCGAGATTGTGCACTGGTGCCGCCAGCGCGGCGTCGCCGTCCAGGCCTACTGCCCGCTGGTGCGCGGCGAGCGCTTCGGCGACCCCAAGGTCGCCGCGCTCGCCCACAAGTACGGCAAGACGGAGGCGCAGATCCTGCTGCGCTGGAGCCTGCAGCAGGGCTTCGTGCCGCTGGTGAAGACGGTCACGCCGAGCCGCGTGCTGGAGAATGCCGACGTGTATGATTTTGAGCTGACAGAGGACGAGGTGGCGGATATGACGACGGACGAGTACAGTCCATGCACGTGGGACCCTTCGGTTGAGCCTCTAGATAAATAACGCCAATTGTTTTTCGACTGGCCATGACAGATTAAAAGGCACCATAAATTTTTTAAAAATTGACCAGCTTGACTACCTTGATTTAAAATAAAAAGTGAAAACCCGTCCGAGTTTGTTGGCTAAGATATCTGCCAAACCTCCGTCCTAGGCCTATCCCTTAGGAATCACCAGGCATCGTAGCCATTCCTCTATGTCTTAGCCTATGTCGTAGGTTTCCCGCTAGCCACCTTGTATGGTGGCGGCGACTGCGGTGGCTAGGCCCTCCGGCAGCTAGGTGCACTGTCTTGCTTCCTTCTTCCAATTTGTTAGGGACTGTGCGAAGATGAAGAGGATCTATTCGGACTGTGTGCCCTATGGCCTTATCTAGGCCAGGGTAGTAGGCCTATAGGCCCGCACCCTATAATAAATTATACTAAAAATTAGCATAGTTTATAAGGTTAATATCCTAGGAATAGTATACTACCTATAACTATAACTTTATAATAGCTATATTTAGTTTTAGGAAAATTTAAAAATTATATAAATTACTTTTTAAACCTTAAAATAACCATATTAATTAATTATATTTCTTAATAACTTTAAATTTTAGTATTATATTTCAAATATCTTAACGTCGTTCCGGTAGCGGACACTGCGCTCGTGATGGCGCCCCGTGGCCGCAACGCCAGCGGTGGGTTTGGCAGCCCTGCTTATGCGGCGTTGGGTCGAATTGACCAAAACTTCGTTGCGCTCGCAGTAAGTACACACTCTATCCCTCTTGTTCGCCGCTCATGTTTTGGCAGGGAATGATGCAAGCCCAGGCCGCCCGCCAAGAGGCCACGAACAATGCCATCTTGACGACGTTGCAGCACCTGGCTGCGCCCTCAACGCCCAACCGCCGGGCTATCGAATACTACGAGTCGGATCGCGGCTCGTCTGGGGGGTTTGTGGCCTATCTGTGGGCGCGCCGGGGAGAGAGAGGGTATGTTAAGGGCTGGGCTATGGAGCCCGCCCTGGTCCTTCCAGAGTGGCCGGCGCGGAGCCCCAGGACAAGCAACACAGACCCAAGTCGGCAGCTTGTCCGGAGAGCAAACACAGCGAAGCGAGGAAAGGCAGGAAGCAAGAGGGCAAGAGGAAGGAAGCCAAGCACACGCATTCAGCCTGCCAGGCACCTTCCCAACACAAACCCAAACCCCTCCCCATTCAACCCCATCGCCAGCCTCCTTCCCGAATTTCATCGCCCGGCTTAGAGAGATTAGCTTGTCACGCTCTAACAGCCATCAAGCAAGCCAGACAGCAAATATTCAAGCAAGCCATCAGGCAAGCCAGACAGTAAATCTTCAAGCAAGACATCAAGCAAGCCAGACAGGAAGCATACCATCGTGGAAATGACCCTAGCACATCACCGCGAGGAGACGCCAGCAGCATCCACAGCGGCATCAGCGACAGCCGGCGAGCTCAAGCCAACCAAGCTCCGAAAGAATGACATCGGTTTCTTCAATCCCGACCTCAGACATTAGGACAAACGAGGAACCAGACAGGTCACAGGGGCTAGCAAGGATCTAACATTCGTCTACGTTTATACATTCACGGACCAGCTCAAGCAGCATGTCATCAGCCACAGCGAGCAACAAGTTAAGGACGTTTAGGTAACCTGCTTACATAGCGAGGCTGCCCAATGGTACAACAGTTACCTCACCGCAGGTCGTCAAGCAGATCCCGATGCTTTGTTCTCTTGCGCTTATGGGCCTTACGCGATGCCGCTTTCGCTAATGAGCTCGCTATGTTGTGTAGATAAGAAATGAAAATCAAAAAATTGAAAGAAATAGCTACTTACCAAGAAAAGCGACGATGTTAATGCTAAGACATAAAGGAAGCAAGCTAAGGGGGGGGGAGGTTTTATGAACGTCGTGTTGCCAGGTGGTCTGACAACAATATCCTCCCACAAGCCGTACAGGCGCTTATATTCCACCTTGACTGGCGCGATATCGTATCTGGCTGCCCTCTGCAGTGCCGCCAGCCTGATGTCGATGTAGCTGTCCGATTGCGCGATAGGGGGCAGCGGCCTGGCTGCCAGCTAAGGAGGCATTCGTTGCAGCCATGTGCGAGTAAGGCGCCCGATGTCGCCCAGGTTCTCCTTCTCGCTGCCGTCCTGTGTGTGCATCACCAGCTCGACTTGCTTGATGTCTCTGACGATCTTTATAGGTGCAACCAGACAACAATCGTGCCAGTATTGTTATTACGAATCCTTTTGGCCTTGTGGCTAAGGGGGTTATGCGCCGTAAGGCCCACTGATGGCAGAAGTGCTGGTTGCTACTAGAGCCCTCTAGGCCAGTCTGTTATATTATTATAGCTTTTAATATTCTTATTACTTTATTATATTTATTATCTTTATTATCTTTATTATCTTTATTATCTTTATTATCTTTATTATCTTTATTATCTTTATTATCTTTATTATCTTTATTATCTTTATTATCTTTATTATCTTTATTATCTTTATTATCTTTATTATCTTTATTATCTTTATTATCTTTATTATCTTTATTATCTTTATTA